CTATATTCTCATCTTTCTGCAGATTGTCAAACCCATGCTAGAATATTGAACATGTTTAAAGTGAGGTATGAGAAAGAATACTGCATGGGATTGTTAAGGTTTTTCGTATGGCACATTCAGCAGCTGCCTTTAAGAGCTCCACACGAAGCAAGAGTCAAAATAAATATCTATCTCCTCCTCGACCACACTTCCTGGAGACACGCAGACCGCAGACACGGACGCTGTAGCCGCCAACGTTTCTGTGTCTGGTTCCATTTGGAGACGTGACAGTGAGGAGAGAGGCTGTTATTGAATCAGCTGATCTCATTGAGTCCGCATGGTCCTCACAGCTCTCTGTAATGAGGCCACATGTCCACGGGACCTGCAGAGGAGTGACAGCGGCCGTAATGAAGCAGGAGATGGACGGATCTGTCACACACAGAGAGAGAGAGAGAGAGAGAGAGAGAGAGAGAGGCAGATGTGCTCGGTTTGAAATCACACGAGACGAGAAATATGAGACTGGACAGAAGAGAATTTATAAATACTCTGCAGGTTTATGAGACTGGGACTTGTTTAGGTCAATGTAAATCCTTTTTTTGTATTGCCCTAGACCACAACAGCAGTTTACAAAGCAGGAAATGCAGTAATAGTAAACACATAGAGCCGTTGATCCAAAGGGAGAAGAACGACCACTGTCTATAAATGAGAAGAAATGGAGAAACTTTGAGGAGGCCATTATTGAGAGAGGCTGTAGACCCAGGACTGGGGCTGTAGACCCAGGACTGAGACTGTAGATGCAGAACTGAGACTGTAGACCCAGGACTGAGGCTGTAGACCCAGGACTGAGACTGTAGAGCCAGGACTGAGGCTGTAGATCCAGGACTGAGACTGTAGACCCAGGACTGAGGCTGTAGATCCAGGACTGAGGGTGTAGATCCAGGACTGAGACTGTAGACCCAGGACTGAGGCTGTAGACCCAGGACTGAGGCTGTAGATCCAGGACTGGGGCTGTAGATCCAGGACTGAGACTGTAGACCCAGGACTGAGGCTATAGATCCAGGACTGAGGTTGTAGATCCAGGACTGAGACTGTAGACCCAGGACTGAGGCTGTAGACCCAGGACTGAGGCTGTAGACCCAGGACTGAGACTGTAGACCCAGGACTGAGGCTGTTGATCCAGGACTGAGGCTGTAGACCCAGGACTGAGGCTGTAGATGCAGGACTGAGACTGTAGACCCAGGACTGAGGCTGTAGACCCAGGACTGAGGCTGTACATCCAGGACTGGGGCTGTAGACCCAGGACTGAGACTGTAGACCCAGGACTGAGGCTGTAGACCCAGGACTGAGGCTGTAGACCCAGGACTGAGGCTGTAGATTCAGGACTGAGGCTGTAGACCCAGGACTGAGGCTGTAGACCCAGGACTGAGGCTGTAGACCCAGGACTGAGGCTGTAGACCCAGGACTGAGACTGTAGACCCAGGACTGAGGCTGTAGATGCAGGACTGAGACTGTAGACCCAGGACTGAGGCTGTAGACTAAGTCTAAGGACTGTGTAGTGTTGTGTAGTTGTGTACTGCTGTGTAGTTGTGTAGTTGTATAGTTGTGTAGTGTTGTGTAGTTGTATTGTTGTGTAGTGTTGTGTAGTTGTGTAGTGTGTGTGTCTCACCACAGTCCAATGATTCCGTGTGAGATGGAGAGGATTCAGACCAAACCACAGCCACAGTTAAACACATGCTGCTTCTCTAATCTCCACAGACACATCACCAATTCAATCTGAGGCCCACGACACAGGACGTGGAAACAGAGATAATCCAAAACATTTATCTTTGTATTTATCTAAAAACTAGAAACGATTCTTCTAAAAACTCCAATAAATCGATTATTAAAAATAGCTTTGCAGACGTTTATTTCACACAGATTCTTTGCCGTCCAGAGCCGCTCAGAGCCCTCAGAGCCGTTCAGAGCCGTTCAGAGCCGTTCAGAGCCGTCCAGAGCCGCTCAGAGCCCTCAGAGCCGTTCAGAGCCGTTCAGAGCCGTTCAGAGCCGTCCAGAGCCGCTCAGAGCCCTCAGAGCCGTTCAGAGCCGTTCAGAGCCGTCCAGAGCCGCTCAGAGCCCTCAGAGCCGTTCAGAGCCCGAGTCTGCAGAAGAATCACATTTCCAGGGTTGGAGTAAATGATTCATGGCTCATCAATAAATACTGCTCAGAATCAGATGTTTCTGGTTCTGAGAGTCGTGAAAACAAACAAAGAGAAAAGTGTTGATCTATGAAGATCTCAGCGACTGAGGCTCAGCTCGATCTTTCTCTGTCTCATGTCTATATATATATATATATATATATATATATATATATATATACTGTGCCTTGCGAAAGTATTCGGCCCCCTTGAACCTTTCAACATTTCGCCACATTTCAGGCTTCAAACATAACATTAAAAGTTCTGTCATGAATCAACAACAAGTGGGACACAATCGTGAAGTGGAACAAAATTGATTGGATAATTTAAACTTTTTTAACAAATAAAAAACTGAAAAGTGGGGCGTGCAATATTATTCGGCCCCTTTGCGCTAATACTTTGTAGCGCCACCTTTTGCTGCAATTACAGCTGCAAGTCGCTTGGTGTATGTCTCTATCAGGTTTGCACATCGAGAGACTGGAATTCTTGGGAGACACACATGTTTGGTGTGTCTCCCAGGTGGCTTGTGGCAAAATATAAACAAGACTTTTTGGATATCTTTGAGAAATGGCTTTCTTCTTGCCACTCTTCCATAAAGGCCAGATTTGTGCAGTGCACGACTGATTGTTGTCCTATGGACAGACTCTCCCACCTCAGCTGTAGTTATCTGCAGTTCATCCAGAGTGATCATGGGCCTCTTGGCTGCATCTCTGATCAGTCTTCTCCTTGTTTGAGATGAAAGTTTGGAGGGACGGCCAGGTCTTGGTAGATTTGCAGTGGTCTGATACTCCTTCCATTTCAATATAATTGCTTGCACAGTGCTCCTTGAGATGTTTGAAGCTTGGGAAATCTTTTTGTATCCAAATCCGGCTTTAAACTTCTCCACAACAGTATCTCGGACCTGCCTGGTGTGTTCCTTTGTCTTCATGGTTCTCTCTGCGCTTTAAACAGAACCCTGAGACTATCAAAGAGCAGGTGCATTTATACGGAGACTTGATTACACACAGGTACATTCTATTTATCATCATCAGTCATTTAGGACAACATTGGATCATTCAAAGATCCTCACTGAACTTCTGGACTGAGTTTGTTGCACTGAAAGTAAAGGGGCCGAATAATATTGCACGTCCCACAATTCAGTTTTTTATTTGTTAAAAAAGTTTAAATTATCCAATAAATTTCGTTCCACTTCACGATTGTGTCCCACTTGTTGTTGATTCTTGACAAAAAAAATAAAATTTTATATCTTTATGTTTGAAGCCTGAAATGTGGCAAAATGTTGAACGGTTCAAGGGGGCCGAATACTTTCGCAAGGCACTGTATATAGTTTTAGTGTTTCGTGAACAAGACCCTGAGAAACCTGAACTCCTCTGGGAGCAAGGCTCTTTTGTGTGTTTGTGGTCCCAAACCAGACTCCCTCTGGACCCTGTGGTCCCAGACCAGACTCCCTCTGGACCCTGTGGTCCCAGACCAGACTCCCTGAAGCCCTGGAGGCCGACAGGAGAAGGTCTGACAGGTCTTTTATCTTGATGTTTCTGAAGTCGTCTTCAGAACAAGCTTCTCCTGTTTGTTGTGGAGAGATTCTGCTGCAGATGTTTCTGATGATTCTGATGATTCTCTTCAGCAGAGATTTCGCGCCCTAACCATAACGGTGTTTTTTGGACAGATGTGGTTTTGTTTTGCTGCTTCCTTCAGAGAAAACGTCCTTCTTCTGTGCAGACGCTGCAGACGCTGCACTTCCCACCGCAGCCACTTCCGTTTGCCGCAGATGTGCGTGTGCCATGTGTCCTATTTTCTTCTTCACCATCTGATAATGAGACTGTTTACTTTGTGACTTCATGTTTTAGTATCTGAAATAGTAAGTAAGTAAGTTTTTATTTATATACCGCCTTTTCACTGCAGATCTGAGTCTCAAAGCGGTTTACAATTGTTAATTATGGGCATTTGTCTCTCACTCCACACAGAGATGGGAGCGGGGTCGCCAGTACAGGAGGCGCATGCCAGAACTATTGGACATATTTTTAGTGGTAGGGGAAACCGGAGTACCCAGAGGAAACCTACGCAGACACGGGGAGAACATGCAAACTCCACTCAGAAAGGCCCTGGTCCGACCGGGATTCGAACCCAGGACCTTCTTGCTGAGAGGCGAGAGTGCTATCCACTCAGCCACCGTGTCGCCTATCATATCTTAAGCTGTAAATACACAGTCCAAGTGTGAACATCCTGCAGAGAAGGACAAAGTCTGGGGTTGTTCCATAATTCAGACAAAAGACATGTTTTATTGTCGATGGTAAAGACGAGCTGCACGGACATAGATGTTACAGAATGAAAGTGATATTATTCAGTGGAATGCAGACCGTCCAATCAGCAGCTGCCGATGTGCAGTGGCTTCAGCTTCAAGATAAACCAAAACATGTGGAAAAGTATTGACTTGAGCAAATTGTTAAAATGATGAGTTTAACTTTCGCCACAGCTGCTTCAAAGTGTCATGAAAAATCCAAACTTCCTCCAGAGAATAGACAAATATTATTATTATTATTATCGCTTCAGTGTGTGTGTGTGTGTGTGTGTGTGTGTGTGTGTGTGTGTGTGTGTGTGTGTGTGTGTGTGCGCGCGCGCGGGGGGGGCACCACACCTGTGAGAATCGTGCGTGGGCACCAGAGAGCGCGTGGTCCTGATGCCGTTGTGTTTGTGTAATTGTCAAGGCCAACACGACTCTGCACCTCCACACGCCGCGGATGACAACCTACGTACTGTGTACACGTAATCTACAGTCTATACGCTGCGTCTGCGTCGTCTGCGTGTGCGTCTGCGTGTGCGTGCTTCCGTGGGCGCCTCATCAGTCACATGGTCGAGCCTGTTGCGCGTCCTCGTGTTAATGAAGTACAGACATTCAGAGGAGTGTCGCTAATTGCCCCCGGCTCTTTACGCACCACCACAACACCACCGAGACGCACTCCCACCGCGGCCGCGCATTCCTCCCGACGCAACACCGCCAGCAGCCGCCTATTTAAAGCCCCTGGATCTGTCTTTATAGACCAAAGAAGCCGCGTACGTGCGTCTGCGTGTGTCCATCTCCGACGCCTGCCTGTCCTTGTCCTTGAAGAGGAGGAAACGCCGTGGATGAGTGAGGAGCGGGGAGTTGGAAGAGAAAGCAAACAGGTTCCACCGTTTCTTCTTCTTTCTCTTCTTCTTCTTTCTCTCCTGTCTGTGCGTAATCTGTCTCTGGCTCAAGCGTCATTCCGGAAATTTTGTAATAACTGGAGTTGGAGCAAACAGGTGCGTGTGTGCGCGGATTGTGTTGTAAAAGGTGTGTAGTAGGAGATATCAGATGCTTGAGTAGATAGAGTAGCTGTAGCAGTAGTAGTAGTAGTAGTAGTCAGGGACGTGCAGTCAGGGGAGGCAGAGCCTCACCTGCCATTATTGGAAACTAATAATTATTTTAGTTTAAATATATAATTTATATCCACTGTCCTATGCTTTTAATGTATATTCGGCACGGTTCCCATCAGTTTTGATCATTTCTGAAGTCAAAATCGCCGAAATCCCGTTATTCCTATTCAAAGAGACGAGGTGAGGCAGCGCTCCTGCGTGCCTCACCCCAGACCGCTCCCTCACAGTGTGTGTGTGTGTGTCTGAGTGCACTCAGCTCGTGCAGTTGATATATCACCGTTTGTTTCAAATATCCTGCTTTAAAAACATTTTTTAAACTCCTCTTAGTGTTTAGTAGTGTATTGCACGTATGTGTGTACAATTTATATTTAGTTTAAGTCTTTTGATCGTAGATGAACACACAAGGAAAAAGCTTGGCGTGAGGCAGGCGGTATCTGTGCCTCACCGCTAGGGGTGATAGTGAGCATAAAGTTCATACCAGAGTTGCTAACAAACAATCAGCCCAAAATGCTATTTCTTTTGCTGGAAAATGGATGATTTGAATGAAGATTTTTTTTCTCAATTGGACTTTCAAACAAAGAAAGAATTAATATAGACTGGGAGACCACCACTGGACTTACGAGGTTAGTCCGGCTGCGGGGGAGGAGTTTGTTAATCTGTGTTTTATGTTGAACATTGACAGATACTGGCAAAGTAGTGCTTTTCCGAAAAACACTGATTCAAACACTGCTCAAGAGTTCTGCAACTTGTTTAAATTATTGTTTATGTTCCTCGCGTCTCCGTCTCTCTCTGCTCCTCGCGTCTCCGTCTCTCTGCTCCTCTCTGTCTCTCTCTGCTCCTCTCTCCTCGCGTCTCTCTCTCCTCGCGTCTCCGTCTCTCTCTGCTCCTCTCTGTCTCTCTCTGCTCCTCTCTCCTCGCGTCTCTCTCTCCTCGCGTCTCTCGCACCTGCGCTTCTTAAAGATGTTGTTTGATGCGGAGCAGAGTCAGCAGCTAGATTTGTTGTGAGATTATTAAAAGAAGCTGGTTCTCTTATCTTTACAGTATATAAAGTTTGTGGATGTCATTGCATTGGTGATTAAATGCTATTTTATTTGAATAATGATTGTAAATCTGACTTTTAAAGTCAGTGCCTCCCCAATCACAAACCTCACCGCACGTCCCTGGTAGTAGTAGTAGTAGTAGTAGTAGCAGTAGTAGTAGTAGTAGTAGCAGTGAATACCAAAGTCCTACAGGTGGGAGTGGGTTTTACGCGTGCATTGATCACCGTCGTCTTTACAAATTGCGCCTTAAAAATACAACATAGACACGCTATAGATGCTTGACTTCACGGTTGTGTATCATTGTGTGTGTGTGTGTGTTTGTGTTTGTGTGTGTTTTGTTAGTGCCAATAGATCAGCAATGGACGCGTTGATGAAGGGATTCTCCAAAGCCAAGGAGGGAGTCGCGGCGGCGGCGGAGAAAACCAAGCAGGGAGTGACCGGAGCCGCGGAGATGACGAAGGATGGAGTGATGTTTGTGGGTGGGTGTCGTGGTGAAGTCTGGGGGGACACACGTGGGGTGGGGGGGGTCATGGGGGGTGGGGGGGGTCATGAGGGGGGGTGACTCTTACATTGGGGGTGATTGGGGGAAACGGGCAAAGAATGCATTGATGTGAGTTTGTGTTGTTTTTATCTCTAGGCACGAAGACCATGGATGGAGTGACAACAGGTGAATACTGGTGTGTGTGGGTGTGTGTGTCTTTGTGTGTGTGTGTGTGTGTATGCGTGCGTGTGTGTGTGCGTGCGTGTGTGTGTGCGTGTGTGTTTCTGTGCGTGTGTCTGTACATGTGTAAGTGTGTTTGTGTCTATTTCTGGTGTGTGTCCATTTCTATGTCTGTGTGTGTGTGTGTGTGTCTTTGTGTGTGTGTGTGTGTGTCTGTGTGTGTCTTTGTGTGTGTGTGTGTCTCTGTGTGTGTGTGTGTGTGTGTCTTTGTGTTGAAGCTATGTTTTAGATGAGAAAACCTCTATAGTTGTTGAGGTTCTGGGAAAATTCTAGTGTTGCAGCGCACCGAAACAACAGCACAAATCTTGTTTTAAGACCCACACACAACAGCAGTGAGACACACACACAAGAAACACACAAAATACACAGAGACAAGTATCTGTAACACTTCTCCACAGTATTCTCTATGATCCTTTACCTCAATCCTTGAATCAAAAATGGACAAAATAATAAATAAATCCACTTTCTGTTCGGGGACAATAGATTGTGTTGTCGAGGGAAGTTGTTTGTGGTGTTGTGTTACGGTTGTGTTGCTCCCAGCGGCTGCTTCTGTGTTATTTCTCACACAAGCTCTGAATCCACTGGAGGCCGTCGACTCCGGGAAGTGGAGCCACATTAATGCTGTGGCTCGGGGTTTGGTCGACCTGGTTTGATGAGTTTGAAGAAGGAGGAGAAGAAGGAGAAGGAGGAGGAGAAGGAGGAGAAGGAGAAGACAGAGGGAGAAGGAGAAGAAAGAGAAGGAGGAGGGGAAGGAGGATAAGGAGAAGACAGAGGGGAAAGGAGGAGAAGGAGAAGAGAGAGAAGGAGGAGGAGAAGGAGGATAAGGAGAAGACAGAGGGGAAAGGAGAAGGAGGAGAAGGAGAAGAAAGAGAAGGAGGAGGAGGAGGAGAAGGAGGAGGAGAAGGAGGATAAGGAGAAGACAGAGGCGAAAGGAGGAGAAAGAGGAGAAGGAGGAGGAGAAGAAAGAGAAGGAAGAGAAAGAGGAGAAGGTGGAGAAGAAGGAGATAAGGAGAAGCGGCACTTCGGCGGAGTGGATAGCACTCTCGCCTCTCAGCAAGAAGGTCCTGGGTTCAAATCCCGGTCGGACCAGGGCCTTTCTGAGTGGAGTTTGCATGTTCTCCCCGTGTCTGCGTAGGTTTCCTCCGGGTACTCCGGTTTCCCCTACCACTAAAAATATGTAATATGGCATAATGGCTGTTCGGCGACCCCGCTCCCATCTCTGTGTGGAGTGAGAGACAAGTGCCCAAAAAATAACAATTGTAAACCGCTTTGTGACTCTGGTCTGTGAAAGGCGGTATATAAATAAAGCTTACTTACTTACTTAGAAGAAGAAGGAGATAATGTATAATTTATTAGCTCTTGATTGGTATTGGAAGGACTAATAGCACTTCTTAGTCCTTCCTTATTCTATCCTAGTTACTAACAGACTTTTTCCCATGTGGGGTACGGCTCGGTGTGGGCTAATCTAAAGAGTTACATGTTACTTTTGTTTGACAATTTGACAATCACCGACTGCAAACATTTGGTAAATTATTATAACAAGTATTTAAGGGGCAATACTTTTGTTTTTAATGAGTGTAATGTCGCTTACAAATCTTCTTCTCGCAGTCGCCGGTAAGACGGTGACGGGAGTGTCCCAGGTGAGCGGAGCCATGGTCACCGGGGTAACGGCTGTGGCCCATAAAACCGTGGAGGGGGCGGGGAATATTGTCGCTGCCACCGGATTGGTCAAGAAGGATCCGGCCAAACAGGTACAACACACAAACACTACTTACTTTACATTTTTACAAACTCAAAACAGTTACTGAGCCATAGGAGCTTTATTTTAGGATTAGGAGTCTGAGAGAGTTGGAGCAAAACTTCGTCCATGAGCACTTCCCTATTGGGCTTCATCTGTTAACCAGGAGTGGGAATTGGCAAAAATGTGTTGCTTTGATAGTAGCAGGCTGACGTCATAGAGTCATAGAAACCTCAGATGGAAATTACCAGAGAAGAATATCATTTTATTAAGTATTGCAATACTTTGCTCTCTTGTGTCAATACTAATAATATCGCGATACTGAAAAGAATCAATTTTTTTCCCTCACCAATAATATCAACATTTATGGACATTTTTGGACCAATGTCTCTATGTGTTTTAATCATTGCATTTCTTGTGCTTAAACGGTTTGATTCTCTGATCTGTGTTGGAGAATCGACAGTTTTGTAAAGTTCTCAGAGAAAACTACTGTTGTGATTTAGGGCGATACAAAAATGGCCTTTGGGCCTGAAGGTCGTGGGTTTGAGCCCACCATAAGACCTACTTCACGACTCCCATTGATGTCTGCTGTCGTTGTGTCCTTGGGCAAGACCCCACTTTGCCTGAAGCCCCCGCTGAAAGATCTCAGCTCCTGTGGACTCAGCACCTGCAGGAGGATCAGTGAGGGGCTGGTGCTCTGACTGCCACCCCCCTGACCCAGAAATGGATTAAGGGGAAGAAAATGGATGGATGGACAAAAATACATTGAAGTGAATGGAGCTAGCGCGTTAGCATCGTGCATCTATACAGTCAGGACCTATCACATTCTGAGTCAATATAGCTACTTGAATCGTATACTTGGAACTGAAATATACCTCTTTGGGGCGTCTCGCTTGGTTTTAGCGTTTTGGGTAAATGCCTATCATTAAAAAAAAAAACTAGGGGTTCAAAATAAAATATAAAAAAACGTTATCAGTGCTCCTACCACCTACAAGAAAAACCAAAAGAGAAAAAAATACATTAAAAGGTTAATTTTAGGTTTATAGAAAGTTCATTTTGTTCAAATATTTTAGTTTTTCAAAGGCCTAATAATAATCATTTTCATAATGAATCCTCATTTCCAGCAGGTCGATCTGTGACCATAAACACAAACTAAACAAAACCATGTGTTCCATAGAAAACACGATGCCAGAACATGTCCCTTCTGCCTGTAACTCATGGCAACACAACAGCTGAGCATCGAACCACTGATCCACACACAACACACAACACGGTCATTAATGTGGATAAGACGTTCTCGCTGTGCTTCGCGGTTAAATCGGCGAAACGGTGGTGTCCAGGTTTCTCAGCTGCTCTGAGTCATTCTGAGCGAGAGGCACGACGGAAGATTCAGATTCATTATATTTGCCGTTTGCAGTAAAACCACATTGGAATACACGCGCAAACGTCTCCAGTGTGCACCAGACAAATATACACATAAGACGAGGTTAAAAACACAGAGATAAAACAAACAAAACAGTAAACGAGTGTCTCTGTGAAATGGATTCATCTAAAACAGTTTCAATACGGCAAGAGCGTTAAAGGGCTCTGTTTAAACTAATAACGGTTTGTGGAAAGAAGCTGTTAGCATGTTAGCATGTTAGCATATCGAGCTGGAGCTGTAGAGAGGCAGAGACCAAAGTAACTGTACTTATTTTATTCATGAAAATTACAGTTGGATTTATTTGTGTTTTACCCTAAATCACAGCAGCAGTTTTCTGGGAGGACTTTACAAAACTGTGGATTCACCAACAACAGATCAGAAAATCAGTTCAGACACAGGAAATGTGAAGATAAAAACATTTAGACATTGGGACCAGAGAGAGACCAGAGAGAGACCAGAGAGAGACCAGAGAGAGACCAGAGAGAGACCAGAGAGAGACCAGAGAGAGACCAGAGAGAGACCAGAGAGAGACCAGAGAGAGACCAGAGAGAGACCAGAGAGAAGAGACTAGAAAGAGACTAGAGAGAGACCAGAGAGAGACTATAAAGAGGCCAGAGAGAGACCAGAGTGAGACCAGAGTGAGACCAGAGTGAGACCAGAGTGAGACCAGAGTGAGACCAGAGTGAGACCAGAGTGAGACCGGAGTGAGACCGGAGTGAGACCAGAGAGAGACCAGAGAGAGACCAGAGAGAGACCAGAGAGAGACCAGAGTGAGACCAGAGTGAGACCAGAGTGAGACCAGAGTGAGACCAGAGTGAGACCAGAGTGAGACCAGAGTGAGACCGGAGAGAGACCGGAGAGAGACCAGAGTGAGACCGGAGAGAGACCAGAGAGAGACCAGAGAGAAGAGACTAGAAATAGGCCAGAGAGAGACAAGAAATAGAGAGACCAATAGAGAGAATAGAAAGAGACTAGAACGAGGCAGGACAGAGACCAGAGAGACACCAGAGAGAAAAACCAGAAAGACACTAGAGAGAGACCAGAGAGAAAAACCAGAAAGACACTAGAGAGAGACCAGAGAGACTTTTACAAACTATTCATATTGAAACCATCGTGCCAAACTGTAGCGTGCCACAGATTTGGTGAAACTCGGCGTCTGTCTCTCGCAGGAAACTGAAGAAGCCGCAGCGTCAGAGGAAGTGGCCGAGTCTCCCATCCACAGCGACTCCCCGGACGTCTCTGAGGTCAGACGCTGCTCCACCACATCCTCCTGATTCTACGTTTTATAATATCATTTCATTCTTTCATCCATCTTCATCTTCATCCTTTTGTCCATTTCCAGGTCTGCAATTAGAGCGGCCCCCGACCCCCAAAGAATCCACTCCACTGTTTCATTCAAGTCTTCATTTGGAGATTTTATACTCGTTGCTTCGTTATTTAGCTAAAGTTACAGATTTAATGTTATTTTATTGTTCATTTGTGTTGTTGTTGTTGTGTAACTGCGGATGCAACAGACATTTCCCACTGTGCCACCAATAAAGGATCTTTGTTTAATTCTTCTGGATCTCCAAAAAGTTCAGGACACAGAGACAGAGTTAGGCCTGCAGTTTACTATTAGTGTTATTATTATTAGGCCGAGCCAATACGAAGTATTGGGGAGGCCTATTGTTATTCACCGGTTTCATATTATTATTAGGCCGAGCCAATACTTTGTATTGGGGAGGCCTATTGTTATTCACCGGTTTCATATTATTAGGCCGAGCCAATACTTTGTATTGGGGAGGCCTATTGTTATTCACCGGTTTCATATTATTATTATTAGGCCGAGCCAATACGAAGTATTGGGGAGGCCTATTGTTATTCACCGGTTTCATATTATTAGGCCGAGCCAATACGAAGTATTGGGGAGGCCTATTGTTATTCACCGGTTTCATATATTATTAGGCCGAGCCAATACGAAGTATTGGGGAGGCCTATTGTTATTCACCGGTTTCATATTATTATTCTTTTTCTTTTTCCGCAACTTCAATTCGATTTTTGACCCTGAAGACATGCACGAAAGTCTGCACATGGGGGGTCTAAAACGACCGGTTCGGCGAAAAATTTGATAAAATGAACGTTTCCAGATTGTCCGACGCTCGCCGACTCTATAACGCCCCCTAGAAATTTCATTTTTTTTGACCCTCTGGGGATTTTTTTTCAAATTTTTGAGTAGGTATACGAAATTCGGATGAGTGATAGATCTCTATGAGACGAGCATAAAAGCCGTTCTAAGCACATGTCTGGGACCAACAGGAAGTCGGCCATGATGGGCCAAAGTTTCGCCACTAATTTGACTTTTCATTTAGAAATTCGAACTAGTCCCTGGTTTTTCATCACACACAGTTCTACCACGTAATTTCCCAATCTGGACGGATTGAAGTTATATAATCATCGAAAAAAAGTTAGAAAATCTTCACCGTTTTCGTCCCTCGCCATGGCGAATAAGGCCTTCGTTTTGGCCATTTTCGCTGAGCCCTGAGGGCCACAGGCTCAGACCTACAGAGCTGAGACTCACATCAGTAATATTAGGTTATGGCCTGAACGCAATGACACTAAAATCATTCGCCCAATTCGAGCTCTTTAGCGCCACCTGTCGGAAAGTAATAGGGCACTAGTGCTCGGATCGGCCCGAAAATCGCTGAGTGTATTCTCTGGACCGAGACGAGCAAAACATTACATTACGCAAAAGTTGTACGTCCCACACCTGACCACTGGGGGCGCCGTAAAGTGAATAAATGAGCTTTTTGGGGCAAAATCTTTGTCCGATGAGGCTAAAAATGAATTCAGAAATACAGCGTATGACCCTGAACACAACGATATGCAACACACAACTGTGAGTGCAACAGCGCCACCTACAGGCAGTGCAATGTGTCTCATTTTTGGCTTCGTACTAGTCCCTGGATTTTCATCGCACAGACTTCTACCATGTCATTTCTCCATCTGGACGGATTGAAGTTATGCAATCATCGCATAAAAGTTAGAATGTTGTTATCGTTTTCATGCGAGGTAGCGGGGAATTTCTCCATGTTTGATGCTCTCCTGACCACAGGCTCAGACCTACAGAGCTGAAACTCACATCGCTAACAGTTGGTAATGGCCTGAGAGTAATGGTGTGAAAACACACACCTAATATGACTCTACAGCGCCACCTATGGAAGGCTTCTGACCTAAACTTTTCCGATCTTCACCAAAGTTGCAAAATCAAATCTTTACATCTGCACGAGCAAAATACTACTCTACGTAGAGGGTGCATGTCCCGGAGGTGACCACTAGGGACGCACTTTATCATATAAATGAGCTTTTATATACATAATCCTGGTCAAATCGGGCTGCCAATTCGTCGGCGTGACGCTTGTGGGACCGGCGCCCAGGAGGCGGTCGCAAGAGGGGCGAGGCCTTTCATCGCCGCTTGCGGCTTTTTCTTTTTCTTATTTTTTTTCCGCAACTTCAATTCGATTTTTGACCCTGAAGACATGCACGAAAGTCTGCACATGGGGGGTCTAAAACGACCGGTTCGGCGAAAAATTTGATAAAATGAACGTTTCCAGATTGTCCGACGCTCGCCGACTCTATAACGCCCCCTAGAAATTTCATTTTTTTTGACCCTCTGGGGATTTTTTTTCAAATTTTTGAGTAGGTATACGAAATTCGGATGAGTGATAGATCTCTATGAGACGAGCATAAAAGCCGGTCTAAGCACATGTCTGGGACCAACAGGAAGTCGGCCATGATGGGCCAAAGTTTCGCCACTAATTTGACTTTTCATTTAGAAATTCGAACTAGTCCCTGGTTTTTCATCACACAGAGTTCTACCACGTAATTTCCTAATCTGGACGGATTGAAGTTATATAATCATCAAACAAAAGTTAGAAAATCTTCACCGTTTTCGTCCCTCGCCATGGCGAATAAGGCCTTCGTTTTGGCCATTTTCGCTGAGCCCTGAGGGCCACAAGCTCAGACCTACAGAGCTGAGACTCACATCAGTAATATTAGGTTATGGCCTGAACGCAATGACACTAAAATCATTCGCCCAATATGAGCTCTTTAGCACCACCTGTCGGAAAGTAATAGGGCACTAGTGCTCGGATCGGCCCGAAAATCGCTGAGTGTATTTTCTGGACCGAGACGAGCAAAACATTACATTACGCAAAAGTTGTAAGTCCTACACCTCACCACCGGGGGCGCCGGAAAAATGAATGAAGGAGCTTTTTGGGGCAAAATGTTTGTCCGATGAGGCTAAAAATGAATTCAGTAATACAGCGTATGACCCTGAACACAACGATATACAACACACAACTGTGAGTGCAACAACGCCACCTACAGGCAGTTCAAGGTGTCGCATTTTTGGCTTCGTACTAGTCCCTGGATTTTCATCGCACAGACTTCTACCATGTCATTTCTCCATCTGGACGGATTGAAGTTATGCAATCATCGCATAAAAGTTAGAATTTTGTTATCGTTTTCATGCGAGGTAGTGGGGAATTTCTCCATGTTTGATGCTCTCCTGACCACAGGCTCAGACCTACAGAGCTGAAACTCACATCACTAACAGTTGGTAATGACCTGAGAGTAATGGTGTGAAAACACACACCTAATATGACTCTACAGCGCCACCTATGGAAGGCTTCTGACCTAAACTTTTCCGATCTTCACCAAAGTTGCAAAATCAAATCTTTACATCTGTACTAGCAAAATACTACTCTACGTAGAGGGTGCATGTCCTGGAGGGGACCACTAGGGACGCACTTTATCATATAAATGAGCTTTTATGTACGTAATCCTGGTCAGATCGGGCTGCCAATTTGTCGGCGTGACGCTTGTGGGACTGGCGCCCAGGAGGCGGTCGCAAGAGGGGCGAGGCCTTTCATCGCCGCTTGCGGCTTTAATGAAAATTGTTATTCGGTGGTTTCATATTATTCTTTTTCCGCCGAAACAATTTGATTTTTGACCCTGAAGACATGCACGAAAGTCTGCACATGGGGGGTCTAAAACGACCGGTCCGGCGAGCCAATACGAAGTATTGGGGAGGCCTATTGTTATTCACCGGTTTCATATTATTCTTTTTTTTCCGCATCTTCAATTCGATTTTTGACCCTGAAGACATGCACGAAAGTCTGCACATGGGGGGTCTAAAACGACCGGTCCGGCGAACAATTTGATAAAATGAACGTTTCCAGATTGTCCGACGCTCGCCGACTCTATAACGCCCCCTAGAAATTTCTTTTTTTTTGACCCTCTGGGGATTTTTTTTCAAATATTGGAGTAGGTACATGAAATTCGGATGAGTGATAGATCTCTATGAGACGAGCATAAAAGCCGTTCTAAGCACATGTCTGGGACCGACAGGAAGTCGGCCATGAGGGGCCGAAGTTTCGCCACTAATTTGACTTTTCATTTATAAATTCGAACTAGTCCCTGGTTTTTCATCACACAGAGTTCTACCACGTCATTTCCCGCTCTTGACGGATTGAAGTTATATAATCATCGAAAAAAAGTTAGAAAATCTTCACCGTTTTCGTCCCTCGCCATGGCGAATAAGGCCTTCGTTTTGGCCATTTTCGCTGAGCCCTGAGGGCCACAGGCTCAGACCTACAGAGCTGAGACTCACATCAGTAATATTAGGTTATGGCCTGAACGCAATGACACTAAAATCATTCGCCCAATTTGAGCTCTTTAGCGCCACCTGTCGGAAAGTAATAGGGCACTAGTGCTCGGATCGGCCCGAAAATCGCTGAGTGTAATCTCTGGACCGAGACGAGCAAAACATTACATTACGCAAAAGTTGTACGTCCCACACCTGACCACCGGGGGCGTCGGAAAGTGAATAAATGAGCTTTTTTAGGGCAAAATGTTTGTCCGATGAGGCTAAAAATGAATTCAGTAATACAGCGTATGACCCTGAACACAACGATATACAATACACAACTGTGAGTGCAACAGCGCCACCTACAGGCAGTTCAATGTGTCTCATTTTTGGCTTCGTACTAGTCCCTGGATTTTCATCGCACAGACTTCTACCATGTCATTTCTCCATCTGGACGGATTGAAGTTATGCAATCATCGCATAAAAGTTAGAATTTTGTTATCGTTTTCATGCGAGGTAGTGGGGAATTTCTCCATGTTTGATGCTCTCCTGACCACAGGCTCAGACCTACAGAGCTGAAACTCACATCACTAACAGTTGGTAATGGCCTGAGAGTAATGGTGTGAAAACACACACCTAATATGACTCTACAGCGCCACCTATGGAAGGCTTCTGACCTAAACTTTTCCGATCTTCACCAAAGTTGCAAAATCAAATCTTTACATCTGCACGAGCAAAATACTACTCTACGTAGAGGGTGCATGTCCCGGAGGTGACCACTAGGGACGCACTTTATCATATAAATGAGCTTTTATATACGTAATCCTGGTCAGATCGGGCTGCCAATTCGTCGGCGTGACGCTTGTGGGACTGGCACCCAGGAGGCGGTGGCAAGAGGGGCGAGGCCTTTCATCGCCGCTTGCGGCTTTAATGAAAATTGTTATTCGGTGGTTTCATATTATTCTTTTTCCGCCGAAACAATTAGATTTTTGACCCTGAAGACATGCACGAAAGTCTGCACATGGGGGGTCTAAAACGACCGGTCCGGCGAAAAATTTGATAAAACGGACGTTTCGAGATTGTCCGACAAAAGGCGAATCAATAGCGCCCCCTTGAAAATTCAAAATTTGCCATTTCTATTGGAGGCAGGATTGCATATTTTGGAGTAGGTGCACAAAATTCGGATGAGTGATAGATCTCTATGAGACGAGCATAAAAGCCGGTCTAAGCACATGTCTGGGACCAACAGGAAGTCGGCCATGATGGGCCAAAGTTTCGCCACTAATTTGACTTTTCATTTATAAATTCGAACTAGTCCCTGGTTTTTCATCACACAGAGTTCTACCACGTCATTTCCCGCTCTGGGCGGATTGAAGTTATATAATCATCGAAAAAAAGTTAGAAAATCTTCACCGTTTTCGTCCCTCGCCATAGCGAATAAGGCCTTCGTTTTGGCCATTTTCGCTGAGCCCTGAGGGCCACAGGCTCAGACCTACAGAGCTGAGACTCACATCAGTAATATTAGGTTATGGCCTGAACGCAATGACACTAAAATCATTCGCCCAATTTGAGCTCTTTAGCGCCACCTGTCGGAAAGTAATAGGGCACTAGTCCTCGGATCGGCCCAAAAATCGCTGAGTGTATTCTCTGGACCGAGACGAGCAAAACATTACATTACGCAAAAGTTGTACGTCCCACACCTGACCACCGGGGGCGTCGGAAAGTGAATAAATGAGCTTTTTTAGGGCAAAATGTTTGTCCGATGAGGCTAAAAATGAATTCAGTAATACAGCGTATGACCCTGAACACAACGATATACAACACACAACTGTGAGTGCAACAGCGCCACCTACAGGCAGTTCAAGGTGTCGCATTTTTGGCTTCGTACTAGTCCCTGGATTTTTATCGCACAGACTTCTACCATGTCATTTCTCCATCTGGACGGATTGAAGTTATGCAATCATCGCATAAAAGTTAGAATTTTGTTATCGTTTTCATGCGAGGTAGTGGGGAATTTCTCCATGTTTGATGCTCTCCTGACCACAGGCTCAGACCTACAGAGCTGAAACTCACATCACTAACAGTTGGTAATGACCTGAGAGTAATAGTGTGAAAACACACACCTAATATGACTCTACGGCGCCACCTATGGAAGGCTTCTGACCTAAACTTTTCCGATCTTCACCAAAGTTGCAAAATCAAATCTTTACATCTGTACGAGCAAAATACTACTCTACATTGAGGGTGCATGTCCCGGAGGTGACCACTAGGGACGCACTTTATCATATAAATTAGCTTTTATATACGTAATCCTGGTCAGATCGGGCTGCCAATTTGTTGCCGTGACGCTTGTGGGACTGGCGCCCGGGAGGCCCAGGTCGCAAGAGGGGCGAGGCCTTTCATCGCCGCAGGGAGGAGACCAGGGAGAGACCAGAGAGAGACCAGAGAGAGACCAGGGAGAGACCAGGGAGAGACCAGAGAGAGACCAGGGAGAGACCAGAGAGAGACCAGGGAGAGACCAGGGAGAGACCCGGGAGAGACCAGGGAGAGACCAGGGAGAGACCAGGGAGAGACCAGGGAGAGACCAGGGAGAGACCAGGGAGAGACCAGAGAGAGACCAGGAAGAGACCAGGGAGAGACCAGGAAGAGACCAGGAAGAGACCAGGGAGAGACCAGGAAGAGACCATGAGACCAGAGAGACCGACCAGAGAGACCAGACAGAGACCAGAAAAAGACCAGAGAGAGAGACCATGAGACTAGAGAGAGACCAGAGAGAGACCAGAGAGAGACCAGAGAGAGACCAGAGAGAGACCAGAGAGAGACCAGAGAGAGACCATGAGACCAGAGAGACCGACCAGAGAGAGAACAGAGCAAGAACAGAGAGAGTTACCCAGAGACTTCTTCTCCTTCACAGCCAAGTGCAGAATTCCAAGCAGGAAGTTGAGGAGTTCCGGCAGAAACCTCTTGGAGAAGGAGACGTACTCCACGGCGAGACAGCAGAGCACCAGACCCGCGGTCACGTCCTGCAGCGTCCTCACCGGACACTGACACGCAAGAACTCACATTTAGTCTGGTACTTGGTGTGTATACTTATTTTTTGTTTATGTATGTTATATTGGCACGTGTAAGCAGCATGAGAGAATAAGGTTTTATTTTTTCTATGCGTTTTCTGTGCAGCACTTTGGAAACACAGAGAGAAAGACAGTGAACCTTGGTGAGCGCCTGGCCGATGTAGAGCAGAGCGGGGGTGGTGACCGGGTGCCGGAAGTCAGAGGTCGGGAATAACTGTGCGGAGAGCTTCAGGTGAACGAGCTGAAACAGAAAAGAATTTGGTTTCTAAAATATCTAACTCTGGGTCAAGTTCACGCAGGTATGAGAGAGTAACGTTTTCGTACCATGTCCAGAGACGGGAAAGGAGCCCAGTCTTTGCCCTCGAGCACTTCCCCCATGCTGTGGGCTGCGTCTCCGATAATGGTCTGCATGGACTTACAGGCGGCTTCTGGAAACATCTGGCACAGACCGTACACCTCCCTGAAAGCACACCAGGGTAACACTTTAGATTGTGGGCGACACGGTGGCTGAGTGGATAGCACTCTCGCCTCTCAGCAAGAAGGTCCTGGGTTCAAATCCCGGTTGGACCAGGGCCTTTCTGAGTGGAGTTTGCATGTTCTCCCCGTGTCTGCGTAGGTTTCCTCCGGGTGCTCCGGTTTCCCCTACCACTAAAAATATGTACAATAGGTCTGGCATGTGCCTCCTGTACTGGCGCCCCCGCTCCCAAAAAATAACAATTGTAAACCGCTTTGAGACTCCGATGTGCAGTGAAAAGGCGGTATATAAATAAAGATTACTTACTTACTACTAGATTAGCCCTCAACAATTAACAGTCAATCAAGTGCTAAAAGGTGAACCCTGACCTTGAACCATATGGGGAAGTGTTGTTTTGTAGTTAGTTATATGTGGAATAAGGCCATGTATTAGGCAACAGTAGCTCAGTTGGTAGAGCATTGGCGTTTGAGCCAGAGGGTCGTGGGTTCGAGCCCGACTAGCACCATCGACTCCCACTGTCTGCTGCTGTTGTGTCCTTGGCAAGACACTTAACCTCTGGGAACACCAGCCGCAGTGGGGCGGCTGCGGCTGTAAAGTGCTGTTGTGTCCTTGGCAAGACACTTCACCCCCAATGCCTAGAACAAGTCTGGTGTGTGTGAATGGTTGGTGGTGGTGGGAGGGGCCGATGGCAAAGACTGGTGGCCTTGCTTCTGTCAGTGTGCCCCAGGGCAGCTGTGGCTACAGTAGTAGTTTATCACCACCGTGTGTGGAGTGAAAGAATAATGACATGTGAGGCGTCTTTGAGTGTCCAGAAAAGCGCTATAGAAAAACCAATGCATTATCACGTAGAATAGGACTAATAAGTGCTTAATAAATACCAATTAAGAGCAAATTAACTATACATCACAGACTAGTAATTTAAGACTGAACTAAAGTATAACCCAAAAGTCTGATTCTAAACAGTTAAAGCTGGAGTAGGACTTCATGTGAACAATTTGAACCAAAAATCATTGCATTTAATCAATCAGAAAACATGTAATGTAATCTTATACAGACTTCAATGCAAGAGTCCATTCAGTCACTATTTGAGGCTTTGGGCTGGGAGCTGATTGTTTGAGTGGCAGTGGTTGTCTCTAGATCTACAGCCTCAATATATGGCTCCCTGATGTTTCTTACATCTACTTTTTTTATGTTTTTGAGTAGTCTCCCTCGATGCAGGACGATCCGTTATGATCTGGGACTTCACATGAACTGTTTTACACCTGTGACCTGTTGCTGTTTAAGGCTATCCTCAAACACACATTGAAATGAAAGTGTTCTCACGGTATGAGTTTATCGATGGTGGTGAACTGGGGCGGGGTTTCCGCAGCCAAGTCTCCGATGTACTCCAACAAATATCCCAAGAGTTTCTGGAAGAACCAACAGAATGACAGAATGAATTGCTTCAGAGCTAACATGCTAACATGCTAACGATAGACCAAAGTACCTGTAGCTTCAGCTTGTTGCCAACAGCCAAACTTGGGTGATTACATTTCTGGGTTCGAGCCACAATAATGCGCTGGTTTTCGCTGGTGTGACCTCGAAGCAAATCCTTCAGGTCGTTGTAACTCTCTGGAGCTGAGAAAGAGAATACATGCGTCAGAACAGCGAGAGTCCTGGGTCCACGGCCTCGGCCCCGGTGTCCACGGCCTCGGTCCTGGGTCTACAGCCTCAGTCCTGGGTCTACAGCCTCAGTCCTGGGTCTACAGCCTCAGTCCTGGGATCTACAGCCTCAGTCCTGGGTCTACAGCCTCAGTCCTGGGTCTACAGCCTCAGTCCTGGGTCTACAGCCTCAGTCCTGGGTCTACAGCCTCAGTCCTGGGTCTACAGCCTCAGTCCTGGGTCTACAGCCTCAGTCCTGGGTCTACAGCCTCGGCCCTGGGTCTACAGCCTCGGTCCTGGATCTACAGCCTCAGTCCTGGGTCTACAGCCTCAGTCCTGGGTCTACAGCCTCGGTCCTGGGTCTACAGCCTCGGTCCTCAGTCACTCACCGGTGAACGTATACGGTAGTTCAGATTTGGCCGCCTCCTTCTGGGCCTTCAGCTCCTCCTCGCTCAAAATCTTCACAGGTTTGTCACTTTTAGGAGCCTCGTCCTCTTCATCACTTTGCTCAGACTCCAAATCCGAGTGACCGTCCTCCTCTTCATCGCTGCTGCCCTCCTCCTCCTCCTCAGAACCAGCCTCCTCTGCGTCCTCTCCTCCGTCCGACTGCTCCTCTTCGTCTCCTTGTTCCTCGCCCTCTTCCTCGTCTTCGTTCTCTCCGATGTTCCATTTACCGTCCTGTGCAAACACATTCTCACTATAGTTTTGTTATTTTATCTTTCCACAGCCCGAGTCCCCACTCTGTAAAATTTGAAGAAGACTTTTCTTCTTCTTCAAACGATAAAAGAAATCCAAATTAATCAATGATGATGAACTAAAGTGGCCCTCTTACTAAAAAGTTTGGACACCCAGCTGGAACCACTTGTTTTGTGCTTTGTTATTGTTCCAGAGATTTGATACAAAACCATCCGATCTATTAAGAGTGGTCTGGAAATCAATGACTCAGGGAAAAAAAAAACCCTGTTCCAGCTTCTTCCCTTTGGCAGAGGAAATCATTTCTTGTATCTTTAACCTTGTTTCATTTTCAATATTTGTCTGGTGCACACTGGGGACTTTTGCTCATGTATTCCAATGTGGTTTTACTGCAAATGGCAAATAAACTGGTTCTGAATCTGGTCTCGGGGCCACGCATAAACTGTACCTCATACGACAGGGTCTTTTTGTCGTCTTTGTCCAGAATGAAGCCGTCGTTCAGATCGTCCGCCGACAAATGTGTCCCACTTTGCCTCGGAGCGCCGTCTTCTGCTTCCTCTCCCAGCATCCTCCTCAAGCGATCGGCCTGAGAGCGAAAGACTGGGGTCAAACTACTGCAGAAACGTGAGCGGGTTAAGAGGAGATAAAAGAGAAGAGAAACCTTTGTTCATCTCTCAGTGGGGAAATTCAATGTCACATATTACATTAGACTGTAATGGTCTCTCTCTCTGGTCTAGCTCGGTCTCTCTCTGGTCTAGCTCGGTCTCTCTCTGGTCTAGCTCAGTCCCTCTCTCTAGTCTAGCTCGGTCTCTCTCTCTGGTCTAGCTGGTCTAGCTAGGTCTCTCTGGTTGCTCCCTCTCTCTCTCTCTATGCTCTCTCTCTCTGTGCTCTCTCTCTCTATGCTCTCTCTCTATGCGCTCACTCTATGCGCTCACTCTATGCGCTCTCTCTCTATGCTCTCTCTCTATGCTCTCTCTCTATGCTCTCTCTCTATGCTCTCTCTCTATGCTCTCTCTCTATGCTCTCTCTCTCTATGCTCTCTCTCTATGCTCTCTCTCTCTATGCTCTCTCTCTCTATGCTCTCTCTCTCTATGCTCTCTCTCTCTATGCTCTCTCTCTATGCTCTCTCTCTCTATGCTCTCTCTCTCTATGCTCTTGCTCTCTCTCTATGCTCTCTCTCTCTATGCTCTCTCTCTCTATGCTCTCTCTCTATGCTCTCTCTCTATGCTCTCTCTCTATGCTCTCTCTCTATGCTCTCTCTCTCTATGCTCTCTCTCTCTATGCTCTCTCTCTATGCTCTCTCTCTATGCGCTCTCTCTATGCGCTCTCTCTATGCGCTCTCTCTATGCGCTCTCTCTCTGCGCTCTCTCTATGCTCTCTCTCTATGCTCTCTCTCTCTATGCTCTCTCTCTCTATGCTCTCTCTCTCTATGCTCTCTCTCTATGCTCTCTCTCTATGCTCTCTCTCTATGCTCTCTCTCTATGCTCTCTCTCTCTATGCTCTCTCTCTCTATGCGCTCTCTCTCTATGCGCTCTCTCTCTATGCGCTCTCTCTCTGCGCTCTCTATGCTCTCTCTCTCTCTCTCTCTATGCTCTCTCTCTATGCGCTCACTCTATGCGCTCTCTCTCTATGCGCTCTCTCTCTATGCTCTCTCTCTATGCTCTCTCTCTATGCTCTCTCTCTATGCTCTCTCTCTCTATGCTCTCTCTCTCTATGCTCTCTCTCTATGCTCTCTCTCTATGCTCTCTCTCTCTATGCTCTCTCTCTATGCTCTCTCTCTATGCTCTCTCTCTATGCTCTCTCTCTATGCTCTCTCTCTATGCTCTCTCTCTCTATGCTCTCTCTCTATGCTCTCTCTCTATGCTCTCTCTCTATGCGCTCTCTCTATGCGCTCTCTCTATGCGCTCTCTCTATGCGCTCTCTCTCTGCGCTCTCTCTATGCTCTCTCTCTATGCTCTCTCTCTATGCTCTCTCTCTCTATGCTCTCTCTCTCTATGCTCTCTCTCTATGCTCTCTCTCTATGCTCTCTCTCTCTATGCTCTCTCTCTCTATGCGCTCTCTCTCTATGCGCTCTCTCTCTATGCGCTCTCTCTCTGCGCTCTCTATGCTCTCTCTCTCTCTCTCTCTATGCTCTCTCTCTATGCTCTCTCTCTCTATGCTCTCTCTCTCTATGCTCTCTCTCTCTGCTCTCTCTCTATGCTCTCTCTCTCTATGCTCTCTCTCTATGCTCTCTCTCTATGCTCTCTCTCTATGCTCTCTCTCTATGCTCTCTCTCTATGCTCTCTCTCTATGCTCTCTCTCTCTATGCTCTCTCTCTATGCTCTCTCTCTATGCTCTCTCTCTATGCGCTCTCTCTATGCGCTCTCTCTATGCGCTCTCTCTATGCGCTCTCTCTCTGCCTCTCTCTCTCTATGCTCTCTCTCTATGCTCTCTCTCTCTATGCTCTCTCTCTCTATGCTCTCTCTCTATGCTCTCTCTCTATGCTCTCTCTCTATGCTCTCTCTCTATGCTCTCTCTCTATGCTCTCTCTCTATGCTCTCTCTCTCTATGCTCTCTCTCTCTATGCGCTCTCTCTCTATGCGCTCTCTCTCTATGCGCTCTCTCTCTGCGCTCTCTATGCTCTCTCTCTCTGCTCTCTCTCTCTCTCTCTCTCTATGCTCTCTCTCTCTCTCTCTCTATGCTCTCTCTCTATGCTCTCTCTCTCTCTATGCTCTCTCTCTCTATGCTCTCTCTCTCTATGCTCTCTCTCTCTATGCTCTCTCTCTCTCTATGCTCTCTCTCTCTATGCTCTCTCTCTCTCTATGCTCTCTCTCTCTCTGGTACACAGTCGTAGTCAGCAGCAGTGAAGAGATATTTCCATTGTACTTCAGCAGCAGAGAACAGGACCAGAATAAACAATAGTGAAACCAGCAGCAGGTAAAGATGAACGCACCTCGAGCTTCTGCAGCCGCTCTCTCTCCTCTCGGGCGATCTCCTCAGGGGTCTTCAGCTTCTCTGACGGCTGGGCCTTCATCTCGAACCCCAGCTCTCGCACCATCATGTCGTACTCCTCCAGCTGCAAACACAAAAAACACATTCACACCGGTCACAATACATGTAGTAAGTAAGCTTTATTTATATACCGCCTTTCACAGACCAGAGTCACAAAGCGGTTTACAATTACAAATGACAAAGTACTGCACTTCAATTGATTTATTTTCAAATAGAGTATAGCCTTAATGCAGAGACACGCAGAGCCACCTTATCTTGCTCCTCTCAACATGGAGAAGCAGCGGCTCTACTCCGAGCTCCTCTCGCGTGACTGAGCCCATCACCCTATCTCTAAAGGGAGCAGCCACTCTACGAATGAAGCTCATTTTGACCGCTTGTACGTGTGATCTCAACGTTTCAGGCATCACCCAAAACTCAGGACCATAGACATGCATGTTCTAAATTTCCCCAAAAAATGTCTCAATGTTTTTCCAAGAGTGAGAACAATTCCAAAACCTTTTCAAAAGCCTGGAAATTGGGTGTTTTTTTTTTTTTTTTTTTTTTAAGTTTTGCCAAATTATACGATTATGAGAACCTTGAAAATACCTTTGGCTTCTCCTCTGGTTTTTCCTCGTCCATTTTCGGAGTCTTTTTCACCATCAAGGCCTGAATACTTTTCCACTCCTGGTCCAGTTTCTCCGTCAGCTCCTGAGCCTCCTCTTTCCGCACTTGCCGTTCACGCTGACGAAAGATTAAATCAAAGTCACGATACACGTTTATGAAGTCTGTATTGATAGAGCGCATGGAAGGAGAGAGTACCTTTTCCTGTTTGGACTTCTGGATGAGTTCCTCGATGAGCTCTTGACGGGACTTGGCCCTCGGTCCGCGTTCATCGCCGTCCTGCTCCCCGGCGTTCTTCTTCCGGAGGAGTCCACCGCCGCCGCCAAAGTGTAAAGCCGTCAGTTCAGCTAAAGAGGGAGAGTACACGAGACATAAGCACAGACTGTAATCAAGGAGTGATGTCAACCATAGTGTTCGCCTTAAAGTGAGAGAGGCCGATTTGAACATAAGGCAGTTGTAGCCAATTTCCTTATATGGGCATTTGAGGCAAAAGTCCCTCTCTCTCTCTAGTCCCACTCTCTCTCTCTCTCTCTCTCTGGTCCCTCTCTCTCTCTCCCCCTCTCTCTCTCTCTCTCTCTAGTCCCACTCTCTCTCTCTGGTCCCTCTCTCTCTCTCTCTCTCTCTCTGGTCCCTCTCTCTCTCTCTCTCTGGTCCCACTCTCTCTCTCTCTCTCTCCCTCTCCCTCTCTGGTCCCACTCACTCTCCAGTCCCACTCTCACTCTCTCCGGTCCCTCTCTCTCTCTCTCTCTCTCTCTCTCTCTCTCTGGTCCCTCTCTCTCTCCCCCTCTCTCTCTGGTCCCACTCTCTCTCTCTCTCTCTCTCTCTGGTCCCACTCACTCTCCAGTCCCACTCACTCTCTCTCTCTCTCTCCGGTCCCACTCACTCTCTCTCTGGTCCCACTCACTCTCGCTCTGGTCCCACTCACTCTCTCTCTGGTCCCACTCACTCTCTCTCTGGTCCCACTCACTCTCTCTCTGGTCCCACTCACTCTCTCTCTGGTCCCACTCACTCTCTCTGGTCCCACTCTCTCTCTCTCTCTCTCCCTCTCCCTCTCTGGTCCCACTCACTCTCCAGTCCCACTCTCTCTCTCTCTGGTCCCCCTCTCACTCTCTCCGGTCCCTCTCTCTCTCTCTCTCTCTCTCTCTCTCTCTCTGGTCCCTCTCTCTCTCCCCCTCTCTCTCTGGTCCCACTCTCTCTCTCTCTCTCTCTCTCTGGTCCCACTCACTCTCCAGTCCCACTCACTCTCTCTCTCTCTCTCCGGTCCCACTCACTCTCTCTCTGGTCCCACTCACTCTCGCTCTGGTCCCACTCACTCTCGCTCTGGTCCCACTCACTCTCTCTCGCTCTGGTCCCACTCACTCTCTCTCTGGTCCCACTCACTCTCTCTCTGGTCCCACTCACTCTCTCTCTGGTCCCACTCACTCTCTCTCTGGTCCCACTCACTCTCTCTCTGGTCCCACTCACTCTCTCTCTGGTCCCACTCACTCTCTCTCTGGTCCCACTCACTCTCGCTCTGGTCCCACTCACTCTCTCTCTGGTCCCACTCACTCTCTCTCTGGTCCCACTCACTCTCTCTCTGGTCCCACTCACTCTCTCTCTGGTCCCACTCACTCTCTCTGGTCCCACTCACTCTCTCTCTGGTCCCACTCACTCTCTCTCTGGTCCCCACTCACTCTCTCTCTGGTCCCACTCACTCTCGCTCTGGTCCCACTCACTCTCGTCCTCTGGTCCCACTCACTCTCTCCTCTGGTCCCACTCACTCTCTCTGGTCCCACTCTCTCTCTCTCTCTCCCACTCACTCTCTCTCTGGTCCCACTCACTCTCTCTGGTCCACTCTCCTCTCTCTCTGGTCCCACTCACTCTCTCTGGTCCACTCACTCTCTCTCTGGTCCCACTCACTCTCTCTCTGGTCCCACTCACTCTCGCTCTGGTCCCACTCACTCTCTCTCTGGTCCCACTCACTCTCTCTCTGGTCCCACTCACTCTCTCTCTGGTCCCACTCACTCTCGCTCTGGTCCCACTCACTCTCTCTCTGGTCCCACTCACTCTCTCTGGTCCCACTCTCCGGTCCCCTCACTCTCTCTCTGGTCCCACTCACTCTCTCTCTGGTCCCACTCCTCTCTCTCTCTGGTCCCACTCACTCTCTCTCTGTCCCACTCACTCTCTCTCTCTGGTCCCATCTCTCTCTCTGTCCCTCTCTCTCACTCTCTCTCTCTCTCTCTCTGGTCCCACTCACTCTCTCTCTGGTCCCACTCTCTCTCTCTCTCTCTCTCTCGGTCCCACTCACTCTCTCTCTGGTCCCCCACTCACTCTCTCTCTGGTCCCACTCACTCTCTCTCTGGTCCCACTCACTCTCTCTCTGGTCCCACTCACTCTCTCTGGTCCCACTCACTCTCTCTCTGGTCCCACTCACTCTCTCTCTGGTCCCACTCACTCTCTCTCTGGTCCCACTCACTCTCTCTCTGGTCCCACTCACTCTCTCTCTGGTCCCACTCACTCTCTCTCTGGTCCCCACTCTCTCTCTCTCTGGTCCCACTCTCTCTCTCTCTGGTCCACTCTCTCTCTCTCTGGTCCCACTCTCTCTCTCTCTCCCACTCCTCTCTCTCTCTCTCTCTCTCTCCCACTCACTCTCTCTCTGGTCCCACTCTCTCTCTCTCTGGTCCCACTCTCTCTCTCTGGTCCCACTCTCTCTCTCTCTGGTCCCACTCTCTCTCTCTCTGGTCCCACTCTCTCTCTCTCTCTCCCACTCACTCTCTCTCTCTCCCACTCACTCTCTCTCTCTCCCACTCACTCTCTCTCCCACTCACTCTCTCTCCCACTCACTCTCTCTCTCTCTCCCACTCACTCTCTCTCTCTCTCTCTGGTCCCACTCACTCTCCAGTCCCACTCACTCTCTCTCTCTCTCTCCGGTCCCACTCACTCTCTCTGGTCCCACTCTCTCTCTCTCTGGTCCCACTCTCTCTCTCTCTCTCCCACTCACTCTCTCTCCCACTCACTCTCTCTCCCACTCACTCTCTCTCTCTCCCACTCACTCTCTCTCTGGTCCCACTCACTCTCTCTCTCTCTCTCTGGTCCCACTCACTCTCCAGTCCCACTCACTCTCTCTCTCTCTCTCCGGTCCCACTCACTCTCTCTGGTCCCACTCTCTCTCTCTCTGGTCCCACTCTCTCTCTCTCTCTCCCACTCACTCTCTCTCCCACTCACTCTCTCTCCCACTCACTCTCTCTCCCACTCACTCTCTCTCCCACTCTCTCTCTCTCCCACTCACTCTCTCTCTGGTCCCACTCACTCTCTCTCTGGTCCCACTCACTCTCTCTCTCACTCCCTCTGGTCTTCGCCAACATCTAAACAACATTTTTTTTGTCTTCCTTCTGATCCTTTTTGTTCTTGTTGCACAAATGTAAAGTATATGACGTGTGTACAGTATGTAACATGAGGACACAGACAAATACATATAGAGCTAGAGCAAACATATAAATAGTTTTGTCCATCCATATACAGTCTATGGACATTGGTTGAGAAACTATCTGAGGAGAGTGCATCCCAACACACCTGACAAAAGTCCCTTCTCTTCCGTTTCATCGTCGCTCCCAACGGCGTCATTGAACTTCTCGATCTCTGCGAGCGACTGTCCGTAATGCGTGAGCTCCTCTTCCTCGTTCAGGTTGTACATGTCCTTCTTGTCGTGGGTCCGCTGTGAGGAAAGAGCACGCGGTGAATAAGAAAGATGGGTATTTGTAATTATTGAAGAAAAGGTTCGAGTTTTCTTTCATTGCCTTGGGATTCGTTGAATATTGTGATGTTTATATTGCTGTTTGTATAGTCACTGGAACATGACAAAATAACTGTCATATCTTTTTGATCATGCAGTAAATGAATGTATTGAATGTATCAAATTCTTCAGTACACAAGGGGTAGGTGCAAACAAGCTTAAAGACCTTATGACGGGTTTGATTTATTTAGAAATACAGTTTTAATACCATTTTATATTAGAAGAGAACTACTAAAGGTTTCAAAATCAGTTGTTTTTTTTGTCTGATTCTCCCAAATCGAAATAACCCCATAGCAACGCCCTTAGAAACGAAAAAACTTCACAGCCCTTGGTGACGTCAGAACGGGTACGTTTCAACGTTGTTTACAATTTGGTATTTGTTCGCGGATATTCAAGATGACAAGGCCGTGTACAGTGAGTATGAGATAACTACTAGAACGTGACATTTCGTCGTCACTGAGATAGTCCAGTGGTTGTGTCGATGGACTGCCAATCCAGACACTTGGGTTCAAATCCCACCTCAGACACTTTTTCACTCTCAAAACGGCAATTTATGTGTAGTGAGCAATTGTCACCTGTAGAGGGCAGTATTGTGTTGGGCATCAGTGGAGAGAAGAGAGAAAAGGCAGTCCTGTGGCATAGATCCATGGTTTTCAATGCATGGGCGTGACCCGCTGTGACGTCACACACAGGTTAGAGCAGCCATTCCCAAACTCAGTAACACCGAGGCCCCCTTAAAAATCTGATGGGTCTGCGTGGCCCCCCAAAATAATAACCAAGAAGACAACATTAAGAATAGGCTCTTCTGGTTATTTTATTTTGGGGAAATAGCCTCTGCTACAAACATTGTAATACAAAAATGATTACAGTGGATTATTCAAGTCAAATAATGAACACAAATATTTTAATATTACAAACAAAAAATTATACATTTAACATTAAATAATTATATTATTTTTTTTATTCTTTTTATGACCTCCCGCGGCCCCCCTGCAGTACCCTCGCGGCCCACCAGGGGGCCACGGACCCCACTTTGGGAGACACTGGGTTAGAGCATAGACAACTTAAATTCATGAAAAACACGTTCTTTTTATAAAATATAGGATTTTTTTTTGCCGGATTCTCTTTCAAATTGACATTGTCATGCAATTTTGATATCCACTATTTTTTTTTTAAAAACCCGTCATAAGGTCTTTAAGCTTCTGCCTACTCCTTTTGAGCATCATATCCACGCTATTTATTTATTTAATTATTTACGTATTTACTTACGCCTACCTATTTTTGGCTTTGATTACTGTGCTGAACTTTGTATATAAGTAGAACTGTGTGGAACTCAGATGCTCAAATAAAAAAGATGAATTGAATTGAATTGAATTGAAAGTGAACAGAGAGACCTCCACAGACTCGCCCCGGGACTCGCACCTGTCGCTCCATCGAAAACCGCTGCAGGATCTTGTCTTCGGGCGCCATGTTGGAGTCATATTCTCCCAGACGTCGGTCGATGAATTTACTCGACTTGTTCTTCTGCCTGTACTCCTTCAGAAGGGTTTCTTTTCGCTGGACGGAAAATGACAACAATCAGGTATCATAACGGCAGCACCACAATTAAGAAAAGCAAGAAACGTTTCTGATAGACACAATCATATGAGGCATTAAGCCTGTCTCACATTTACAGGAAGAATTTTCCAGATTTTAGCTGTATAAATCTGAAAGGCTGTCTCCCCATGTTTAGTCCTGACTCTGGGACCAGCAGGAGGCCAGTCCCTGTGCTCCTCAGAGTCCCAGCAGGAGGCCAGTCCCTGTGCTCCTCAGAGTCCCAGCAGGAGGCCAGTCCCTGTGCTCCTCAGAGTCCCAGCAGGAGGCCAGTCCCTGTGCTCCTCAGAGTCCCAGCAGGAGGCCAGTCCCTGTGCTCCTCAGAGTCCCAGCAGGAGGCCAGTCCCTGTGCTCCTCAGAGTTCCAGCAGGAGGCCAGTCCCTGTGCTCCTCAGAGTTCCAGCAGGAGGCCAGTCCCTGTGCTCCTCAGAGTTCCAGCAGGAGGCCAGTCCCTGTGCTCCTCATTTCTTCTCAGTAGTTTTACTCCATAAAACTAATAAAAGAATGAGTTTTGTCATATTTTGTACAGAAACCGTGTAGTTTAACAGTGTTGTTTAACAAACAACACTGTTAAACTGTTAGTTTGTTAATAGTTTAACAAACTATTGAAAAATGAATCATCGTATTGATAATTACTGTATATTGTCATCATAGACTGTGTATGGACGGCTGAAGCACAACAAAATGCCAATACCATTCAAAATAATATCTTAAAAAAAACATACCATGCAGACAAACTAGTGCCAAACATCAATAATAATAATAATGTATCTTGGATGTGAAATACCGTCGTGTCTGTTCTGTCTTAAAACCATATCCCGGGATGCTTCTTGTTTCCATAGCAACACGTTCACTTTCAGCAGAACCCTTCGATAGCCATTCACCAACATTTTTATTATTGATCTATTTAAAGTTATATATTTATCAGTTTTTGCACAAAATATCAATTAAGGTTTAGAAAAATATATATATTGATTTGAATGGGAGCAGCCAAAAAATACTCGAGTAGTTTTAGAATTCCAGGAGTCTTAACACAATATTCCATGATTATTTAGTGGATAATTACCTTCGTGATGGCCTTGGACCGTGAGACCCCCGGCAGACCCACGTCATGTTTGGATTTTCTTCCCAAAACCTCAAACTTCTTCCTGTTAATTTTCACCTCAAAAGGATTGTTCTTGATCTCGGTGCTGGTCTTGGTCTTGCGAACCTTGTCGGCAAGATTCCTCTTTTTGGGCACTTTCCCCATCTGCAAAAAAAAACAACCGAATGCATTGATTTGAGACTGAAAAATACTGATATTAATGAAATAAGTTATAAGCATTTTAGCCCAGGCACTGATAGAGACATGTCAACAAAACCAGGAGCCGAGAGAAGATGCTTTTACCTTCGAGAGGATGTATTAATAAATACTTCTGGACTTATTCATGTGGACCTCGGAGATTAATAACATATAACACAAAAACACGCTTTACTTCATTCCACGTTTTTACCACAGACTGTTCAGGAAGAAAACAGCGTGAGAGAGGTGAAAGGGCGAACAGGAGACTACTTCCGTATTCAGAGCGAGCTCACAGCGCCCCCGTGTTTGAAATGAGTACTGCAACAACACAAGACTGGCCTGGGACTCTGAGGAGCACAGGGACTGTCCTCCTGCTGGGACTCTGAGGAGCACAGGGACTGGCCTCCTGCTGGGACTCTGAGGAGCACAGGGACTGTCCTCCTGCTGGGACTCTGAGGAGCACAGGGACTGGCCTCCTGCTGGGACTCTGAGGAGCACAGGGACTGTCCTCCTGCTGGGACTCTGAGGAGCACAGGGACTGGCCTCCTGTTGGGGCTCTGAGGAGCACAGGGACTGTCCTCCTGCTGGGACTCTGAGGAGCACAGGGACTGTCCTCCTGCTGGGACTCTGAGGAGCACAGGGACTGGCCTCCTGCTGGGACTCTGAGGAGCACAGGGACTGGCCTCCTGTTGGGGCTCTGAGGAGCACAGGGACTGGCCTCCTGCTGGGACTCTGAGGAGCACAGGGACTGGCCTCCTGCTGGGACTCTGAGGAGCACAGGGACTGGCCTCCTGCTGGTGCCCAGAGTCAGGACTAAACATGAGGAGACAGTGTTTCAGATTTATACAGCTAAAATCTGGAACAGTCTTCCTGAAAATGTGATGTCACCTGTTCAAAATCTCAGGTGGCCAGATTCAACAAAAATTGTCTCCCTCTTTGCGCTTCCTTTAGTTGTGTTTTATTATTTACTATTGTATACATAACAACTAACTTGCAATTTGGTGTGTTTAGGCTGTGGACAAAAACCATCATGATCATTTATCAAATTAACAATCAGTCAAAATTGTGCTCATACTCACCAAATCTGTGATTAGGACGAAGGCCTCCAACCCTGCATGCGGTTTTAATTACTATTAAGTGTTTTTGAAAAGACCATGATTTATTAATGCTTTGACATATTAGGGCCATTTAATGAGGACTTGACATGAAAATCTTACATGTTGCTTCTTTAATATTTTGCTAAATTCAGTCCTTTTTCAGTGTAGAATAGATTTAGGAATTGTCCTCCAAAGATACATTAAAGTTTACCTTGTACAGACCTGATCCTAGTGAAAAAAAAAACGTTGCCATAAAACAGTTTTATACCATAGACTGTAAAGATGGATAATGCTAACCCATTAGCTCAATGTGTTTTGCTCTGGTCTATGGACAATCCTTACATCAGATGGAAGGGAAAAAATGTTTTAGTATCGTAATTTCTGGAATGTAAGCCACTACTTTTATTCATAGTTCTTAGCGGCTTATATAGTGATGCAGCTAATATGTGTATTTATTGTGGTAAGAGTTGTCAGAGCAGAGCTTCATGGACTTATCATTTTGACTATCAAGTTTTAGTAGCTATATTTTTAGTAGCGTTTATTGTCAAAGCAGACAAAGGTGAATGAGTACCGACATGGAAGCTAACAGTGAAGCTTGTAAAACACCTCAATAAAATGTGTAGTGTCCAGTTAAAACGGTCGTCTTGCTACATTACTACATGAAAACCTGCGGCTTATATTCAGGTGCAGCCTATATGTGGATAAAAGTATTTGCTAATTAAAAATGTTGTGATGTAGTGATTTTGGGTTATAAAATGTAAACATATTTGACAACTTTTATGCCCGTTTCGCAGCATTCCCACCATTATCTCGTTCCTACAGTAGTGTATTAACGACAAAGACACACAAGGATATTCACATAGTGTTTAGTTATGGTTGTAAAAACAGAACCATGGCAAAGAAGCGTTAATGGACAATGAAACGGTTCAGTCAAAGAAGCAAATAAAACCCTGCAGATAGTCGTAAAGATGTCCGAGAGATTTCTACACGGTGCATTGGAGTTCTGTACAATTGATCAAGTTATAATATATATATTCACATTACTGACGTATAGATTTGTGGAAGAAAGTAAAACTAAACAACTGGCGTTTCTTTCTCTATGGTTAATCAGAGTGGCTTGATTACGAGACCTTCCTGGGAATCACCCAAAATGTATAAAAACAATAAAATGTTAATGAAATGTCAAAGTAAAAAAAAAAACTTGAGACAAAGTGACCAATTCTAGAGTTCTGGTGCGTACTATCATCTGTCTGGTGCACACTGGGGCAGTCTCGCACAGTTTTTCCAATGTGGTTTAACTGCAAACGACAAATAAATTCTTGAATCGTTAAGGCATAGATACTTTTTTGCACTTTTTCCAATGGGTGAGTGTGTGACCAATCAGATGCAAGATTCATTCATAGTTCACTGAAATCTGGACACGATCTCTTTACATTCTAGTGGTTACAATAGTAAATATGAAATAAACAGTTGGTTAAAATCCTTAAATGTGCCCAAACATGCATTAAAAGGTTAGAATGCATTATCTCTACTTAAAGCCGATATAAAAACAATTATGCAGTTTATACACTGTATACAAAGTTGGCAAAACATGAACACAAGAAATAAAGAGAATGAAGAAGCTTAACTGTTGAAGTGAGAGAGAGCGGGGAGAGAGACCAGAGAGACAAGATAGACCAGAGAGAAACCAGAGCGAGAGAACAGAGAGAGGGACCCGAGAGAGAGACCCGAGAGAGAGACCAGAGAGAGAGACCAGAGAGAGGGACCAGAGAGAGACCAGAGAGAGACCCGAGAGAGAGACCAGAGAGAGACCAGAGAGAGAAACCCGAGAGTGAGACCCGAGAGTGAGACCCGAGACAGAAACCAGAGAGAGAAACCCGAGAGAGAAACCCGAGAGAGAGACCCGAGAGAGAGACCCGAGAGAGAGACCCGAGAGAGAGACCAGAGAGAGAGACCCGAGAGAGAGACCCGAGAGAGAGACCCGAGAGAGAGACCAGAGAGAGAGACCCGAGAGAGAGACCCGAGAGAGAGACCCGAGAGAGAGACCAGAGAGAGACCCGAGAGAGAGACCCGAGAGAGAGACCAGAGAGAGAGACCAGAGAGAGACCCGAGAGAGACCCGAGAGAGACCCGAGAGAGACCCGAGAGAGAGCACAGACATCTATGGTTCAGTCTTTTTCTTGTTTTTCTTCAAAAAGGAAGGAGTGCGAAACTTCTTTTTCTTCTTGGAGGGGGATTTGTCGTCTCCGTCCTGGTCCTCAGCAGGCTCCTCCCCCTCAGCAGGGGCGGGGTCGTCAGCAGGAGGAGCAGCAGGGGCAGGGTCGTCAGCAGGAGGAGCAGCAGCAGCAGGAGCAGCAGCAACAGGAGTGGAGTCTGCAGCAGCAGGAGGAGCTTGGTCTTCAGCAGGGGTAGAGTCCTCAGCGGGGAGGGCGGTGACATCAGACGGGTCATCAGGAGTAAGATCAGGAAGTGTCTGCCTCAGTGTCGCAGCGTCGCTCTCGTCTTTGAAGGTCTGGTCGGGCAACGATTCTGATCAGAGGGGAAAACAAACGTTACCGAGGTTCTAGAATTGCGGGATCAAAAGCAACACTTGTTGAAACTCAAGCCGAGAGTTAAGACCCACATCCCTCCCGTGCTCCAGACCGAGAGAGCCTTGTTACTTTGAACCCACAGCGAAAGCAAACTGCCTCGTATTAATGTCCTCATGCAAACCCTCGTGTTAGAAGCAAAAGAAGACAGCTCCGTCACCGCGGCTACAGCTCCGTCACCGCGGCTACAGCTCCGTCACCGCGGCTACAGCTCTGTCACCGCGGCTACAACTCTGTCTCTGCCCCCAAAAATGTTAAAAACCAGAGACTTCTAGCAGCGACAGAGAGAAGCTTTCACACTGCGGGCATTACCTTCACTTAAACAGGGAAAACCTAATCAGTGTAGTGCCCTTGTTCAGTTTCAGCCTGTGTACAAAACAAACAGGGCTAAATATACAGTCTTACTCACAGACATTAGGGTTAAGAGAGAGCACACACAGAGAGAGAGAGAGAGAGAGAGAGCACGGAGACCTGAGACAGCAGGGGGAGAGGGGGAGAGAGAGAGCAGAGGGCAAGAGAGCGAGAGAGCGTGAGCAGAGAGAGCGGGAGGAGAGAGAGAGAGGGAGACCAGAGAGAGCGGGAGGAGAGAGAGAGAGGGAGACCAGAGAGAGCGGGAGGAGAGAGAGCGCAGAGAGAGAGGGACCAGAAAGAGACCAGAGAGAGAGAGAGAGAGAGAGCAGAAAGAGACCAGAGAGAGAGAGAGAGAGAGAGCGAGCAGAAAGAGACCAGAGAGAGAGAGAGAGAGAGAGAGAGAGAGAGAGAGAGAGAGGAGCAGAGAGATTAAGGCTATATCCACACGAAGACAAAACGCTTATAATTTCAGAAACTTTTTTTGTAAACACGGAGTTAGCTCAGTAAATGTGTGCGTCCATATGAATGTAGTCAATACGCCTGAAAACGCTGTGAAACTATGCCAGACCTGTTGGTGGCGCTGTGACGCAATGACGGGATCAAGCCCAAACTTCCGTGACGGGAACTGGGCATGCGCAGAATTTTGTAAACAGACAACATGGCGAGTGGGCAAGCTGGTACTACATTAGTATGGACGGACGATGAGGTTGAACTGTTGCTTCGGGTCACACTGGATTACAAAACCAACAAGCTACATTGTTGTTGTCATTATTTTCTGAGTGCGGCGCATGCGTGCTTTAACAAGAGGCGGGGCGATGACGCAAGCGTCTCAGATACATTGCGGAGAGGCAGTAACCACGGAGCGGCATATACGGAGTTTTGAAATCTTTCCACTCTGGGACCTAGTTTCAAAAATGTTCGTTTACACCCCCCCAAAACGCCGGCCTCGTATGGACGATACACTGGATTGATAAAGTATTTTTGCGTTTAGGCCTGAGCTTGACTTCGTGTGGACAGGGCCTAAGAGCACAACATCTTTCACCACAGCATCAACTGCAGATATTTCACCATTTCTCGATGTTAAAGCTAAAGTTAGTACAATAAAAAGGCAGTCTCAGTGACACATGTCTGCGTCTCAACCAGGGGTGCCAAACCAGGCCAAGTTTAACAGGCCATAGTATCCATTACCATTAATGCTGCAAGATACAGTAATAATGAGAATTGGAAATAATTTCGTGGACCAGTAAAATTGGTCTTGTGGGCCGAATTTGGCTCACGGGCCTGAGTTTGACATGCCTGTAGAAAAGGTCTAAACCAGGGGTGTCAAACCGGTCCTCAAAGTCCAACCAAACAGGACCATCAGACTCCGCCCACTTCCTCAAATGCGTCCAGTCCAGACCATGAAGACTTGAGTAAACGGGCAGAGTCTGGTGTATGCTCCTGCTTGGTTGGAATGAAAACCTGAAGCTACAACGGCCCTTTCTGGAGCCAGTCTGACACCTCTGGACTCTGAAATAAAACCATGTGGGAAAAAAACAAAACTCCAAAAAACTGTTATTGCTGAGAGACAAGAGAGAGACCAGAGAGCGAGTGAGGAGAGAGAGAGAGAGAGAGACCAGAGAGAGAGACCAGAGAGAGAGACCAGAGAGAGAGACCAGAGAGAGAGACAGAGACAGAGACAGAGAGAGACCAGAGAGAGAGAGAGAGACAGAGAGAGACCAGAGAGAGTGAGGAGAGAGAGCGCAGAGAGAGCGCAGAGAGAGAGCGAGAGACCAGGAAGAGAAAGCAGAGAGACCAGGGAGAGAGCAGAGAAGAGAGAGAGAGAGAGTGAGGAGAGAGAGCGCGAGAGACCAGGAAGAGAAAGCAGAGAGACCAGGAAGAGAAAGCAGAGAGACCAGGAAGAGAAAGCAGAGAGACCAGGGAGAGAAAGCAGAGAGACCAGGGAGAGAGCAGAGAAGAGAGAGAGAAGAGAGGAGAGAGAAAGAGAGAAAAGAGACCAGAGAGAGAAAGAGAGAGAGAAAGAGAGAAGAGAAAGAAAGAGAGAGAGAGAGAGAGACCCAAAAGACCAACTAAAACTGTTATTGCTATATTAAAACAGGGCAGGGTTTGAGTTAAAGCCACGTTTCAACACTTCATTCTGATACCTGGTGAAGGAATCATCTGTAAAACAAACAGTTACCGAGACATCAGACATCAAAGAGTCTACAGAGCAAACATCAAAGACAAAGAGCGATTTGTCAAGAGAGAGCGTGTTATTGTTACAGCGGCTACACAACGGCTAACGTCAGGGTTAGCTTGATGCAGAGATGGCGTCTGAAAAATACCTGCTCGTTCGCACCCACAGTGGTCCCACGCTACAACACTGGTCAACTCTCGCATTTGTTGTGCTTTCACAGCGTTTTTTAACTTTGTATTTCAGTTTATGTACGGCTTTTGACAGCTGCAGGAGCGCTCAGACCTACAATCAACAGGTTTGATCTCTCTCTGGTCTCTCTCTCGTCTCTGCAGGGATTAGCAGTTCAAAGGACCGCGGCCTTCTCGTAGCCCTCAGTCCTGCTGCTCAGTGTATTTTACAGTGTATGCACAGCTTTTGACAGCTGCAGCAGCACTGAGACCTCCAACCAACAGGTTTAAAATCTCTGGCCCCCGCCCCCGTCTCACTCTGGCCCCGCCCCGTCTCACTCTGGCCCCGCCCCGTCTCACTCTGGCCCCGCCCCGTCTCACTCTGGCCCCGCCCCCGTCTCACTCTGGCCCCGCCCCCGTCTCACTCTGGCCCCGCCCCCGTCTCACTCTGGCCCCGCCCCCGTCTCACTCTGGCCCCGCCCCCGTCTCACTCTGGCCCCGCCCCCGTCTCACTCTGGCCCCGCCCCCGTCTCACTCTGGCCCCGCCCCCGTCTCACTCTGGCCCCGCCCCCGTCTCACTCTGGCCCCGCCCCCGTCTCACTCTGGCCCCGCCCCCGTCTCACTCTGGCCCCGCCCCGTCTCACTCTGGCCCCGCCTCACTCTGGCCCCGCCCCGTCTCACTCTGGCCCCGCCCCGTCTCACTCTGGCCCCGCCCCGTCTCACTCTGGCCCCGCCCCGTCTCACTCTGGCCCCGTCTCTGCACCGGGATTAGTAGTTCAGAGGACTACCGCGGCCTTCCTGCATCCCTCAGTCCTGCAGCCGTATTTTACAGTGTATGCACCGCTTTTGACAGCTGCAGCAGCGCTCAGACCTACAACCAACCTGTTTGATATCTCTGGTCTCTCTCCCTTCAGCAGCCATGAGTTCAGGTAGTTATGGAAATGTATAAAGTGTGAGGGGTTTTACAGCCTTACAACATACAGCTGCTACTTCACAAATGTATCTTTCTGCAGGTTATTCTTCGACCATAACCTCAACTATCAACAAGGGACCACTGTATAAGATTCAGGTAAAGCAGATATAAGTCAGAGCTGGTCCACATCAAGAGCGGGTGATTGTGTTAGCGGAGAGAAGAGCCATGCAGAGGGGTGAGGAGAGGGTGAGGAGAGGAGGCCGATGGAACTGTACGTACTTACTTACTATGGCAACAGGTACTCTTTAGCATTTCCATCTCCTGATTGAAATCGCAGCCACGAAGAAAGAAGAAGCACAAGTAGAAAAACAAATGTCGGATGCAGATCAAACCACAAGCGCTGAATCAAAAAGTTTAAATGAAAAAAAGGCCAAACAGAGACATTGGGAGATTCTTCACATGTCTGAAAACTATGAGGAAATGGAAGTGACATGTTGAATCACAATGTATTCGGCCGTTAGATTACACCTGGACTCCCTTTTAAAATCAATGTGAGAGATATTTGTAGCATGTGGCGTACCGTAATTCTTGGGTTATTATTGAAGAGATCCTATAAACTTTTTAGAAAGAGGGCCATTTTAGTTCACCAGACTAGTCCAGGGGCCGACAACACAGACTGAAAAACTGTCTTGACTGGGATTGGGCTGTTCTGAGCTTTATGATGATCTATAACAGAGCTGAAGTTGGCTGAATGACACGTGTTTACCATCTCACCAGCTACATTAGCACCATTAATGGAAGTGTCAGTACAGATGGTGCAAATTAAGTTAACGACTTAATTTCAGACGTAATGGGCTTTAGAAAAAGGTCTATATTGTTTGAGCTGAAGTTGGATGGATGACACAGTGAACTTGTGTTTAGGCTCTCAAAGACTACTTTGGGTTAGCGAGGGAGAGGGCCACATAGAATGACACTGAGGGCCGCAATTGGCTCCCGGATTTGGTCCTGTGCTGGTCCTGTGCTGGTCCTGTGCTGGTCCTGTGCTGGTCCAGTCCTGGTCCAGTCCTGGTCCAGTCCTGGTCCAGTCCTGGTTGATAACATGAGGTGCTTTTGTTGCCCTTTGAACTCCAATTTAGCAATGAGACCAATGTATGTATTTGTATTGTGCTAGAGCGCCCTCTGTTGGTTTGTGGTGGTGGGAGGGGTCAATGGCACAGACCGGTTGCCTCGCTAGTGTCAGTGTGCCTCAGGGCAGATGTGGCTAGAGAGGTAGTTTATCACCAATGTGTTTGGAGTGAACGAATAATGACGCTACATATAAAACCGAAGCATTGTTATAATAGTCTGATTGGATTTAGCAGCATTGATTTGACTAGAGCGTCGACATGGATGCTAACGGCTAAGGTGAGCATGCTAACGTGATGCTACCGTTACTGTTGCTGCTAATGGTGCTTTGACTGCAGTAACCTGTGTAGGAATTACTACTTCTGCTGCTAAATAGTGAGCCATGTCAGATGTCCATGAGTTTTATATTCAAGTGAGGCTTATATATGCACAAAATATTAAAATGTAGCTGGTGCGGCTCGTATACGGACGTGCGTTTAATAGCCCAAGAATTACAGTATTAATAAAGAAGGAGGTGTAATCCAAACAGTAATAAAGACCAAGTAGGACAACAGAAAATATTAGCAAACGTTATGCTTAAGCCATAACAGTAAATGCAATCCTCTTGGCCTTGTATTACATATAGCACAATATTTGAAGTTAAATATCAACGCAAGATCAAACTCCAAGACCAAACAAGCAGAAGCGGCCGGGTGTGGTCTGCGTACCTTCCTCGGCTTGGACCGGAGTGCTGGGGGGAGTGGAGGCCGGTTTTAGCTCCATCACCTCCTCCTCTGGCTCCTCGGTTTGTTCTGGATGCGAAGGAAGAGGTCACAATTTATTTATAGATAAACGCCACGACGCATGAATCAAAATACGTCCGAAAACGGAAAGCCATGGATGGTTTGTAGCCCATGTTACACACCCCTGGGAGAGACGCAAGATCATGAAGAATAAAAACACCAAATCATGGGAAGGTCGGGATGGGACAAGACACTCTTAGCCCTTCAAGTGAGGCATGATTGTTATGCTAGCTTATAATGCAAACGTTTTGGCTAGACAACATCCATCTACCTGATCTGTTTCAATGAAGCTTATCGAATTGTACGTCTTCAAGCACAAAAGATACAAGTTTTGAAATCACTGAAAATAAATGTCTTTCTCCACAGAGTATTGAGGCCATTGTGAGATTTTAAGAGATCAATTGTACCGAACAATAGTCATTTTGGTAACACTTAGAAGCTAATTGAGTGCTTATTAGTGCACCCAAAAACCCTATCCACCTTAACCTTGGCGAGTTGTGGCACGGTGGTGCAGTGGTTAGCGCTTGTGCTTCACCGCAAGAAGCTCCTGGGTTTTAGTCCAGTTCCAGTAAATCTCTGGGTGGAGTTTGCATGTGCCTGCATAGGTTTCCTCTGGGTGCTCCGGTTTCCCGTACCACTAAAAACATGGACAATGGGTCTGGCATGCGCCTCCTGTATGACGACTGTAAGCGCTTTGTGATTAGTCTGTGAAAGGCGCCATATGAATCAAAATAAGTTAGTTAGATGTGGAATAAGGTCATGTAGAATAAGGACCAAAACGTGCTTGATAAATAAAAGAGCTAATTAACCATAAATTCTACATCTAATTAGCCGTTAATCAGTGAGGGTTAGACTAAAGCGTGACAGTTATTTTAAAACTGGATTGAGAGAGTGCATGTCCCATCTCAGAGTACAAAGAAGGTTTACCAGAAGATGCAAAACAATATTTTATACAAACAAATTCAAAAGTTGTAAATAAACACACACCACTGTTATGATTTCAGGGGAAAAAGAACAATTCAGGACATTAACTTTTCCCTCCAGGAAAGGTTAGAAAAAAGCAAAAGGTGACGACTGCATTTACTCTGCGTCCATGGAGTCTCTCTGATTGGATGAGCACAGACGTCAAACTCCGCCCATAGATTATCGACTCCCAAAATGACTTAAGTGACAAGACATTTGTGGCTTGTTTTATCAGATACCAAGGGTTTCTTCAGAGCTCCTGGTCCAATGAAAATGCAGACCCTGCTTTACACACAGATGCCTTGGGGGAAGACATCTTGGAAAAAAAGAAGGGGGGTAAAAGATGAGACCGAGGATAAAGCACTGACAATGGCAGCAGGCTCCCACCCTCAGGAAAAGACACAGCAGAGTCCCAGTGCAGAGTAGAAACACAAACCAGGGCTGAGTGGGAGGAGGGGGGGAGGATGGGGGGGGTCAGCCGGAACGTCACTGCCCCCTGTACCTGTGGGCTCTACGGGCTCCAGACTGAGGGCCCGCAGCACGGCACTGTGGAACTCCTTCTGCGGAGACCCCAGAGCCGGCACCGCTGCTTCCTCCTCCTCCGTGGCGGCAAAAACGTCATCCGCGGAGTCCCCCATGTCCTGCTCGGAGGCCGGGGTGGCGGGGGGAGGGGCGGCTCGGTCTAAACTGGGGGAGTCGTTGGCGGACGCCAGAGACGGAGACACGGACCTCCCTGAAGTTGAGCCTTCCTTGGATTTAGTTTGAGCTGGAAGCGTGTGCGACGGTGGGTGCAAAACACATCACAGAATATCCTTTTTAAAGCCAGACATGAGTGAAAACACAGACACTGGAGAAAAGGTGGGACCGTTTGTCTGTTTTTAAGTTAGTATGAGAGACACAACCTGTGAAGCAGCATTAAGCAGTGGTGATGATCCAGGACACTCAACATTTATGGACATTTATCAACTGCCTCTTATGGACCAATGGCTGTACGTGATTATTATTGTTGTATTTCCTTCTCTGATGATTCTCTGATCTGCTGTTGGCGAATTGACCGCTTCGTAAAGTCGTCTGAGCTAACTATGTGCACAGGAGGATGGCTTTTCTGAGAGCAAAGCCTTGATCTTTCAGCGGGGGCTTGAGGCAAAGTGGGGTTAAGCGTCTTGCCCAAGGACAGACGTCAGTGGGAGACGGTGGAGAAAGTCTTGCGTGGGATCGAACGCACAACCTTCAGGCCACCTCAAAGGCCAATGCTCTACCAACTGAGACACTGTCGCCCCTCTGAGCTAACCATTTTTGCATATCTCTAAATTGTCACAGTAAATTTAATTGGGCCTTATGAGAGTTTTAACATTTCAGAAAGATGCTCATACTGCATGGAATATGTCTTTGTAGAAACAGCTTAAAAACCCTAGATAGAGAGAGAGACTAGAGAGAGAGACCAGAGAGACCAGAAAAAGAGAGACCAGAAAGAAAGAGAGAGAGACCAGAAAGAAAGAGACCAGAAAGACCAAAAAGAAAAAAAGAGACCAGAAAGAGAGAGAGACCAGAAAGAAAGAGAGACCAGAAAGAAAGAGAGACCAGAAAGAAAGAAAGACCAGAAAGAAAGAAAGACCAGAAAGAAAGAAAGACCAGAAAGAAAGAGAGAGAGACCAGAAAGACCAAAAAGAAAAAGAAAAAGAGAGAGACCAGAGAGAGAGAGATAGAGAGAGAGACCAGAGAGATAGATGCAGCTATTGTCTGCCTGTTTGAGTATTCCGCTGGATGCAGGAGAACTTGGACACTGTTTATTTTTATGTGAACAGAGCAGAGAACCCGCACAAGGAAATACACAGGGCTGGTGGAAACAGGACTTGTGTGGACACCATGTTTCTGTTCCAAATGTTGATTGTGCGGTTTAATTAGCCGGCGAGCACTGTAGTCTGTAACAATTGATAACGGTGCATTTTTGATCGTTGAAAGTGTGCGTTACCTTTCTGTTTGAGCTCCACCTCCCTGCGGTACTCCTCCAGCTCTCGGTCGGTGAGTTTGGTGAAGGGGTTTGGACCCTGTTTGCTGACGATGACCTGAGGCTGGTACTCCTTCTCTATGATGGCTTTGGACGCGGTCACCAGCTCCCCCTTGAGAACAGACAGAGAAACGACCAGAGCTGAGGTTAGGAAGGTCGAAAAAAAACCTCTTCCTCAAAATATATTTCATTTTAAATTACGTAAATGATAGTTCTAAAAAATATGAAGAAAGAAAACACAAGTTAACCAATTAATTAGAGGAGCAGTATGTAAAAATGTGGCCAAAAGTGGTACTGCAGCCTCTCCCACTCTCCCTGACTCAGGTTGCCAGATATGCAGACGAATCCAGCTGGAACCATAATAACTGAATAGACAATATTTTTATCAACAACAAATCTATAACCAACACCTTTTTCACAAAGATAGAAATCCTGGTTTTATTCCTTGTTTTGTCGTTAATGATTTGAGAATCATAAAACCTTTTTTTAGTTCTGCGCCACATGGTACTTTACCAGTGAGATTAGCTCGACACGGTGAGTTCTGGCGCCCGGATCACAGACTTTCTGATTGGTGAAACGGTGGAGGGCGGGACATCAAAATGAAAACAATAACAGGCTGTAAAACTAATTTGAAAATTCAAATATCTCTGAACTACTGTTATCAGTTAAAGTATTGTAAAATACCTTTTGACAGATTAGGGCCCTTTAAAGATGACAGATTAGGGCCCTTTCATGATGACAGATTAGGGCCCTTTCATGATGACAGATTAGGGCCCTTTCATGATGACAGATTAGGGCCCTCTCATGATGACAGATTAGGGCCCTTTAAAGATGACAGATTAGGGCCCTTCAAAGATGACAGATTAGGGCCCTTTCATGATGACAGCTTAGGGCCCTTCAAAGATGACAGATTAGGGCCCTTCAAAGATGACAGATTAGGGCCCTTTCATGATGACAGATTAGGGCCCTTTCATGATGACAGATTAGGGCCCTTTCATGATGACAGATTAGGGCCCTTTAAAGATGACAGCTTAGGGCCCTTCAAAGATGACAGATTAGGGCCCTTCAAAGATGACAGATTAGGGCCCTTTCATGATGACAGATTAGGGCCCTTTCATGATGACAGATTAGGGCCCTTTCATGATGACAGATTAGGGCCCTTTCATGATGACAGATTAGGGCCCTTTAAAGATGACAGATTAGGGCCCTTTAATGATGACAGATTAGGGCCCTTTAAAGATGACAGATTAGGGCCCTTTAAGGATGACAGATTAGGGCCCTTTAAGGATGACAGATTAGGGCCCTTTAAGGATGACAGATTAGGGCCCTTTAAGGATGACAGATTAGGACCCTTTAAGGATGACAGATTAGGGCCCTTTAAGGATGACAGATTAGGGCCCTTTAATGATGACAGATTAGGGCCCTTTAATGATGACAGATTAGGGCCCTTTAATGATGACTTGACATGAAAATCTTACAAATTGCTACTTTAACGTCTCTGCTTCGCTTTCCCCTTAAGAAAACCAAAAACACAACACAGGAAACACTTGGAGATGGGTATTTGATGTGAGGAGGAGTGGTTGTGACAGTAAGTACCTTTCTAAATGATCTAGCAGGACTATAGGACCCCTCGGACACATCGAGGCCATCAAAAGTATCTGTACAGTCGGACAGAGGGGCGTCCTGCAGAAGCAAACCCAGTGAAGGGAGGAACCCAGCTCTTAAGGCACCAGAATAATGAGAGGATGGAGGTTTGGTAACATTCACATGAGACAAGTCCACCGTACAAAGGTGGAAAGACAATTTAGGAATGAGGGCGGTTCTTTGATAACATGACCAAAATCTTGTATTCTTTCCACCTGTGTAAGTACAGATAAACATACTAATGCTTGTATGTAGACAATGGAAACGCATGCAAGAGTGAAGCTACAAAAAAAATAAAAAATAAACATGTATTTGATAATATATTTGTCTCTGCTCATGCACAACGCAAAATACAATACTTGCTGGACTTTTAAGCCTTTACCACAAGAGCTGAGTTTAACGAGAAAGTACATTTGTCCACCTATAGGCTGCACTGGAATATAAGCCGCAGGTTTGTGTGGTGTATTGTGAGCTATGGAGCAAAACAAAACAGACATGATTTAATGACAAGGTTTTTAATGTACACTGGTAAATCTATATTGACAATAAAACCCTAACAATTTTGTCTTGTTTTATTCATGTGCTTGTCTGGTGTACACTGGGGACATGTATTCCAATGTGGTTTTACTGCAAAATGGCAAATAAAATGAATTTGAATCTGAATAAACGTGTGTCCCGCCTCTAATAAGTCCATAAACTCTGTTCTTACTGCTTCTGTAAAAACAAGTCCTCTCACTTCCTTGTGTCTCTGCTGTTCACATAAACACAGCGGAAAGCAGGAAGGCATCCCACACGTGACTATATTTGGAGCTTTGAAGCTTTGATAGAGCCGTATCCAAATCCCTTACTCCACGGGGCCGTCTAACACAATGAAAAGGCAAACTCCACACACAAAAAAATAGATATATGGAGGTAATAGTAAAAACAAGATCATTTTACTTTGTCCCATTGGCAAATCTGGTTTAAAATGCAGTCAAAATGTGCTCAAATTGAGATACATTTTGACAAAGTTGACATTTTTTTTGACTTATTCTTAGTTATTTTTGTGGTGTACATTGACCGCAAGGTTAAAATAAAACCGGATATTAAAGTAGCGGCTTAAGCTTATAGTCCAGAGAGTTCTGTACGTGGATATATGTACTGCACGTTTAAAAACATTTCTCGTGTGTCTCCACCCGGTTCCCCTCCCGGTTATTATCAAACCTTCATTATTCAACTATGGACAGGAGTAACGCATGCCAACTCATTTCCTCAAACAAGAAGGGCAGCAATAGAAACGAGGGCATGCTTGAAGGAATGATTTGTTTTTGTTATTTATTTCTGATTTGATAAAGTATTAAAAGCTATGATGGACATGGGCATAACCTGAGCTGGCAAAGTGGTCGAAAAGCAGACTGCGGTTACCTCTCACAAGTTACTCACCTGCCAGATTGACTTTGTCTGCGGTCAAAGAATAATGTCAGTTACAACACAGTCTCTCTGTGGCCTCAAAGCTTCTCAAACATCTCGATGCAGGCAAAAATGTGTGTCACTGGTGAGTTCAAACTACAGTAACCTCAAAGCAATACTCGAGTACCCTCTCACACTTTGGTCACATCCGATTAATTGCAATGGTTTTGACGCTTGCTTTTTGTGATTCTTTTGAAAGGCATGTTAGATGTACAGTATCATCTTGTTGCACGGGGACGTGTAAATAGCTAGCATGACGGAGTCTTGTTTGTTATTGGAAATACGAGGCCCCGTGCTACAAGGGAATACATCTAACTAGTCTTTGAAAAGAACCAGAAAAAGCATTTTAATCAAAGACAAAATTAACCTTTTTGAATTGAGCTTGACTATTTTTTTCATAAGAGACTAATGGGGCTTTCAGACCAGCAACGCTGAAACGCACATGCTCTAGTTTTCAGACGCAGGGGTCTTCAGACCAGAAGACCTTCCACAGGCTTTATATAACAGCAGTATGTGTTCACGGAGGTGCGCAAGTCGTTTATTTTATTATTAAACGGTACTTCCGCATCGGCGAACACACTCGAAGCAGTTGCATAAGGTTACGGGAGCACGAAAACTCACATGTTCACAAGCACTATGTCCCCCATTGTCAACCCTGGTTTTAGTCCTGGTTTAGTCCTGGTGTAGCTCCTGTTTTGGCTGTTTACAGAATGTTCAGTCTGCTCGCTCAGTCCACTAATGTCCCCGTGACCACTTTGCGGCTCTCTGATTGGTTGCGGCACGAACGTCCCGAGGAAAGGTTGAGCAAAATTCATCTCCTGCGTTCCTCCCCTTTGACTTCCCAGCGCGGTCCCTGCGTACATTCTGAAAAGTTTGTACGTTGTGACGCTCGAACGCGCGTCACCATTGACTTTGCACTGAAAGCCGAGGCAACGCATGATTCGGTCTGAACGCGGCATAATGATGTGAAGCTTGAGTCCTGGATCTCCAGCCTGAGAGCAGATCCCTTTCTCAATATGGGCCTCCCCAAAGTTTCTCACATTTTTCCCCACCGTTTTTTTTTCCCCTGAGTTTGAGTCGTTCCTTATTGATGCAAGAGGGTCTAAGGACAGTGATGATCTGGGACATTTATGGATAGTAGTTATCCAGCTCCCATTAATGCAATAATCAGTTTCATAAAGCGCTTATTTGGACACTCAAAGGACATTTCACATTTCGTCATTATTCATACACGGTGGTGATAAACTACTGAAGACAGAGCTGCCCTGGGGCACACAGACAGAAGAGAGGCAACCAGTCTGTGCCATCAGCCCCTCCCACCACCACCAACCATTCACACACACCAGACTCATTCTAATGTGGGTAAAGGACACGACGCACCCACAGTTTGGCACTTTACAGCCGCAGCTGCCCCCACTGTGGCACCTGGTGTTCCCAGAGGTCTCCCATCGCAGTACTAACCCAGCCCTGCCCTGCTTAGCTTAAGAGGTCTGACAGGATCTGGCTTTCACCTGTGGATGTGCAATGGCTCCTATGTGTTTTTGAGTATTGCCTTTCCTGTGTTCATACCGTTTAATTCTGGGGTCTATAAAAATACGGTTTTTTGTCCAAAAACCTCCAGTATGTAAACAATTCAAATCTAGTCCCTTGTTTTGTCCTTGCTTGTTTGTATGAAAAAAAAAAAAAAAATACTATCCCAATCTAACAAGTCCTGACCAGTTTGTAGTAAGTACCAAAATGCTCTGGTCCGTTTGTGGGTACTGACCTGGGTGTAGGTCCACTCCACCCCTGATCCAGAACACAGCAGCTGAGACTGGGGACCTGCCGTCTTTATGTCTTGCAAATTCTGCTCACGAATCTGAAAGAAAAAAAAACATCTCACATCTTAAAAGCGGCAAAACCAGCATCCGGAGTCAGAAAAGTGTTGGTTTTAACGCCGGGACTAACCTTGTTTCTCATCTCGAGCACATCTTTAGGGTTGGTGTTGAGGGGTATGAACTGATTGGCCACCGCGGCTTGACGGGCGCCATCTTCCTTGGACCACTGTCAACATAAGATAAATAGTCAACAACTTGCAATGGAAGGCGGGAAGGTAAGAGCAACTGAAAATAATAACTCTAAAAGAAATATCATAATTGCAGGCTTTTCAGTAATAAAATCATGCTGAAATAATAATAATGTGAAACATGAAAACCTGGGGGGAAAAAAAAATCTATGTAAGGCAATGGACCAATGATGATGAAAGATTTTAAATGTGAATGATCGTCTCTTGCGTCGCTTGAATGGACCTAGACTTGGACCCAAACAGACCGACCGGTGTTACTTGGCCCAGGTGGTGGACTAAGAGAATGTGTTTAGAAGATTCTGGTTCACTTTTATGTCAGCACTGTTTAAAATCTGCTTGTTGGTTTTGTGAATGTGTGGTTCAGCGACATCAGAGCCAAAGGAAGGAGACCAGAGAGAGACCAGAGAGAGAGACCAGAGAGAGAGACCAGAGAGAGAGACCAGAGAGAGAGATCAGAGAGAGAGACCAGAGAGAGAGACCAGAGAGAGAGACCAGAGAGAGACCAGAGAGAGACCAGAGAGAGACCAGAGAGAGAGACCAGAGAGAGAGACCAGAGAGAGAGACCAGAGAGAGACCAGAGAGAGACCAGAGAGAGACCAGAGAGAGAGACCAGAGAGAGAGACCAGAGAGAGAACAGAGAGAGAACAGAGAGAGACTAGAGAGAGAGAGAGAGAGAGAGGGAACAGAGAGGGAGACCAGAGAGAGAGACCAGCAAAAGAGACGAGCAAGAGAGACCAGCAAGAGACCAGAGAGGTGCCCCGCTCTGAAGAGGACTGTGAGCGGCCTGCTCTGGAGGTTCTTTATGAATCCAGACTCTTAAACTGAGATTAAAATAAAATAATCAATGACTTTTCTGGCCCCTGGAAAAGCCATGTTCCAGCTTCTTCCCTCTGATAGAAGATAAAGCTATTTTCAGCTTTTATCAGTCTGAACATAGCAATTTAATGATCTTGACTTTAATGATGAACTGTTTTTCTTGAAAATTGTTGATTCTTGTACTTTTTAGCTTGTTTTATTTATTTACTGGGGACTTTTGCACATGTTTTACGATGTGGTTTTACTCTAATTAAATTGGGTGACCGGTAACCCTTTTACTGCAAATGGCAAATAAACTGAATTTGCATGACACTAAAATATTTGTCGCAACACACCAGTTTGTTGTCATTACACACAATAAAAGCCCACAGTCATAATCATTGATACGAATCAAAAAAAGAGCATTAAATGATGAAGTGAAAACAGCACACGGGGTGGAGAACATAAAACAGGAGGAGGTGGGGTTTGGCAGAGGAGGGAGAAGGATGGCGGTCTGAGAGCTCAGACTGGCTTACGAAGCGAGAGTGGCAGTGAGGGTGAGCTGGCATCACCAAAGTCATTTCCAGGCTGATACACAAGATGAAAGAGATAAATACACACAACACTGGCGCTCGCCGGCTGTGGGACAGTGCACGACCATAGACTGTATACAGATGGACAATGCTAACCCGCTAGCTCAATGAAGCCCAGTAGGGAAGTGCTCATGGACACAGTTTTCTCCAACTCTCTGGCTCCTATTGATTTATATTAAAAAGTAAACTCTTCAAGCTCAGTAACCGTTACTGTCACACTCATCATTTTGGGCTTCAACACAATTTACTGGTTTAGTGCTCTCTGTGATCCTAGTGTTATATAGTTAGTAAACTTTATTTATATAGCGCCCTTCACAGATCAGAGTCACAAAGCACGTTAAAGTAGGGGAAACTGGAGCACCTGGAGCAATCCTACGCAGACACAGGCAGAAACATGCAAACTCCACACAGAAAGGCCTGGATATGTTGAGATTATTGTTGTAACTCTAAATATGATTCATAAGGATTGACCGATCAGATGCCTTTAATCGCAGGGAAAGTCCTGGCGACCGTCCTGGCGACCGTCCTGGCGACCGTCCTGGCGACCGTCCTGGCGACCGTCCTGGCGACCGTCCTGGCGACCGTCCTGGCGACCGTCCTGGCGACCGTCCTGGCAACCGTCCTGGCAACCGTCCTGGCAACCGTCCTGGCAACCGTCCTGGCAACCGTCCTGGCAACCGTCCTGGCAACCGTCCTGGCAACCGTCCTGGCAACCGTCCTGGCAACCGTCCTGGCAACCGTCCTGGCAACCGTCCTGGCAACCGTCCTGGCAACCGTCCTGGCAACCGTCCTGGCAACCGTCCTGGCAACCGTCCTGGCAACCGTCCTGGCAACCGTCCTGGCAACCGTCCTGGCAACCGTCCTGGCAACCGTCCTGGCAACCGTCCTGGCAACCGTCCTGGCAACCGTCCTAGCAACCGTCCTAGCAACCGTCCTCCTAGCAACCGTCCTAGCAACCGTCCTAGCAACCGTCCTAGCAACCGTCCTAGCAACCGTCCTAGCAACCGTCCTAGCAACCGTCCTAGCAACCGCTAGCAACCGTCCTAGCAACCGTCCTAGCAACCGTCCTAGCAACCGTCCTAGCAACCGTCCTAGCAACCGTCCTAGCAACCGTCCTAGCAACCGTCCTAGCAACCGTCCTAGCAACCGTCCTAGCAACCGTCCTAGCAACCGTCCTAGCAACCGTCCTAGCAACCGTCCTAGCAACCGTCCTAGCAACCGTCCTAGCAACCGTCCTAGCAACCGTCCTAGCAACCGTCCTAGCAACCGTCCTAGCAACCGTCTTAGCAACCGTCTTAGCAACCGTCTTAGCAACCGTCTTAGCAACCGTCTTAGCAACCGTCTTAGCAACCGTCTTAGCAACCGTATGCCCCTGTTAGAACAAATGCCCATATAAGGAAATTGGCTTAGTTTATGTACAACTCGGCCTCTTCTGCATTAAGGCTAACACTGCAGTGACCTCAGTCCACTCCTAATATACGGTCTATGTGCACAACCAAAAGCTTCACGCTTCGATCAGGGAGGTGTTGTGAACCTGGTAATGCTCAGCAGAAAAAAAGCTCAGATTTTGCACCAAATCAATATTTCTGCAGGTAAAAAATATGAAGCAGGTTGTCAGCTGCCATGCAAAATGTTCAGAGCATTTTAACAAGGCATGTACTTCACTGAGAAAAGCAACGTCATTCTTGGATTCACTATGAGCTTCACCAAAAGCCACATGAGCAAAAGGTTTCAGGATGAAGGAGCCAAGTTTGATCGATGCGAGATGGACATGAAAACATGATATACTCACAGTGGGCCTGACAACAATTCCTAATTATTCAACAGCAGATTTTCATTATCAGGTCAATTTTTGTCAACATACTCATTCATGCGTGTTTTGTAAAATATCCTATAACAACAAAACAAAAACTTTATTTAAACCAAAACTTTAAACCCAAACTGAACTCTACTAAACCATAAAATCTCCATACAGAGGCTTATCATTAGGAAGTTAGCTAATCTCGATATGGGGGCAATACTTTTCAGGAGTTATTTGACATTGTTCCCCATTGTCTAGAAATCGCCCACTCAGGGAACTCATGCCACGCCCTGCTGTCCCTCCACTGGGGAAAACGTCAACAATGCTCTGGACTACCATTCATGCAGTGAGGCATGCGGCGGGCATCTGGCCTGGCATCATGACGCAACAGGGGCCACAGAGCACGGGGGCCACGGAGCACAGGGCCCACAGAGCACAGGGACCAGCCATCGACTCACTGTTTGTGGTCAATAAATATTAGGCTGAATTTACAAATGATGTTAGCGAGTGCTGCTGAGGGAGGTTCTCAGTTTACTCAAAAAAGGTTGAGTTGCTGAATTCTGAGAGTTTTCAAAGATGTAAATTATCCATGGGAATTAATTGGAATTTACGGGAATGTTCAAAAGTGAATGTTGACCGGAATAACAGAGTAATTCTAAAAATTGACCCCAATTAGTAACTATAATATTGATATTCTTATTTATTCAATGTTTTACTTTATTTTTGTCATTAAATTGAATGCACTTCATGCTATAATCATGTAGTTCTAAATTCTCTGAAGAGTCTTGTGAGATTATATGAAAGAAATGGCAACTGCTTGTGTTTGTACGTGAGGGGGTGAGAGTTTACTAAGTTTACTTTTTGAGCTGTATATAATGTTTCTGGCATATGTTATTGTTCACATGAATTTCACATGTAAACGGATATAACAATGCAGGTACATGTTTAAAAAGACATTTGCAAATGTGTAAGTTTGAATAAATCTAAATGTAGACTTGCTATAGGGAACTTAAATGTAGTTGAGGACAGTATATTGTAGCATAATCTTGACTAAAACCGGAAGACCCCATTTAAATACACTTAAACTATGTCAATCCTCATTCCCATGCACATAGCACACGGCTTACTGTTTTGCTATTGAAACCACGCCCCCTACTGGCCCAGCACAAGTCTGTCACGTCACATGTAAAGGAGAGTTCTAGAAGACTGGGCCCTACGCACAAGACTGTTTAGTGTGCGTCCAATAACGTGATGTAAGTTTGGATGATATTATGGGGAACTTGCTCTACTTTCAAATAATTCTGGAAAATCTTGCATATAATACAATTTAATTACGATACAATTCATTCCCAGTTTTTGAACATCTCCAAAATTCCCCAGCTTAACTTCCCATGAAAATTATCTGGAAACTTTCCGGAAATTTACCAGAAAATGTTCCGCCCCTTGGCAACCCTTCTCAGAGCCTCACAATGCCGGCCATTTACCCTTTGACAGTACTGAGGTAGCTGTCATGTCTATAGTACGAACAATAAGGTAGGCACAGACCAAGCAGTTGGTAATACAGCTTGGCACGCAGACACCGGACGATAGAGACTGCAGCAAGGGTTTGACGTGATCGTGTGTTATGTTCGTCCACACCTTTGGCTTGGACTTGGGGCTGCTGCCGTCCGGCCCGTCCTCGAGGGGCTCGTCGGGTCGGCCAGCATTCAACCAGCGAGTCTTGTCCCGCTGGCCGCGCTGGAAGCTGTGTTTGAGGGGGGAGCGGGCCCCAGAGTCACTGTCCTCCCCGTAGGAGTAACCACCGTGACCGGAGGGAGGATCCACGTCACTGTACTTTTTTGTTTTGTCTCTTAGAGCGGGGCAGCGGTAGGGGTAGCCTGTCCGGTAACCCTGGTAACAACGTCAACAATCAAAACGCTTTAATCTTGAGTAGAAGTATTGTTTATAAAGACAGTGGTAGTTTTTCTCACCAGGTTATCTAACATTCTCATGAAAGCCTCAAACTCCTGCTCCCCAGTCTGCCACTTGGGCTGTGTAGACGACCCGTTCTCGTCCACCTCCGGGACACGTGAGCGGGACTTGTATTTGGTTGGGTCCAGCATCACGAGATTGTCCGGGCCTCCAGCGCTGGCCAGCGTTCGCACCTGGACGATAAAGAAACAAACACAAAGGTAGTAGTAGTAGTAGTAGTAGTAGTAAGTAATCTTTATTTATATACCGCCTTTTCACTGCAGATCTGAGTCTCAAAGCGGTTTACAATTGTTAATTATGGGCATTTGTCTCTCACTCCACACAGAGATGGGAGCGGGGTCGCCAGTACAGGAGGCGCATGCCAGAACTATTGGACATATTTTTAGTGGTAGGGGAAACCGGAGTACCCGGAGGAAACCTACGCAGACACAGGGAGAACATGCAAACTCCACTCAGAAAGGCCCTGGTCCGACCGGGATTCGAACCCAGGACCTTCTTGCTGAGAGGCGAGAGTGCTATCCACTCAGCCACCGTGCCGCTGAGCTTGTGATCTGAACCTGAGCTTGTGATCTGGTCTCCCCGGCCCGGACCTGTGAGCTGCAACCTACAGCCTCAGTACCTGGGTCTACAGCCTCAGTACCTGGGTCTACAGCCTCAGTACCTGGGTCTACAGCCTCAGTACCTGGGTCTACAGCCTCAGTACCTGGGTGTACACCAGGAGGGTCTAGGGACTTTTGAGGACATTTAACATTCAGGGAGACTGGTCGTCTGACAAATGGCTCTTGTCTATTGGTATTTATTATATTTCCTTTGTTAAAACCATTTTATTCTCTAATCTGTTGTTGGGTAAAATCCTCCAAGACGACAGCTGCTGTGACTTAGGGCTATATAAAAATTTATGGAATTGATCTGCAAACACCATGAAAATAATTCATTAATGAGAAATTGACAAAGGGCAGTGGCTAACAGATTTATAAATTCATTCACACAAACGAATACATGAACGTGTTTGAGACTCACCTGGATTTCACAGGCTGTAACCAAGTTGTGAATGTAATAAAAGGCTTCCTCCACAGTTCCACCGACAGCCACCAAGCCATGATTCCTGAGAATGAGGACCTGACAAAGCAACAAAACACTGATGTAGGAAAAAAAAAGTGCAATTTCAAGATTTGAAAACGTTTTGACAATTATACTTTGCTTTTGGGGCCCAGGTTTTTCTGTATGAGTGAGCATTCCTCCTCGTCCAACAGAATGCCTTGATAGTCGTGGTAAGTCACTTCGCCGAGAGCCAATGCTTCGGGTGAAATAGGCAAGAGACCACATTTCATCGCTGAAACCTGCAACCGGGAGATTAGAAGTCATTATAGAAGAATCCAAACAATAATAAATATGTCTGTACGTTTAAGACTTAGACACGAGGGTTATTTGAAGAAGACAAAGCATGTAAAGAAGTAGAACTAGCATCTTTTCACTCTTTGGTCACGGGCCTGGGTCTTACAGCCTCGGGCCCGGGTCTTACAGCCTCGGGCCCGGGTCTTACAGCCTCGGGCCCGGGTCTTACAGCCTCGGGCCCGGGTCTTACAGCCTCGGGCCCGGGTCTTACAGCCTCGGGCCCGGGTCTTACAGCCTCGGGCCTTTGGTCTTACAGCCTCGGGCCTTTGGTCTTACAGCCTCGGGCCTTTGGTCTTACAGCCTCGGGCCTGGGTCTTACAGCCTCGGGCCTGGGTCTTACAGCCTCGGGCCTTTGGTCTTACAGCCTCGGGCCTGGGTCTTACAGCCTCGGGTCTGGGTCTTACAGCCTCGGGCCTTTGGTCTTACAGCCTCGGGCCTGGGTCTTACAGCCTCGGGTCTGGGTCTTACAGCCTCGGGCCTTTGGTCTTACAGCCTCGGGCCTGGGTCTTACAGCCTCGGGCCTGGGTCTTACAGCCTCGGGCCTGGGTCTTACAGCCTCGGGCCTGGGTCTTACAGCCTCGGGCCTGGGTCTTACAGCCTCAGGCCTGGGTCTTACAGCCTCGGGCCTGGGTCTTACAGCCTCGGGTCTGGGTCTTACAGCCTCGGGTCTGGGTCTTACAGCCTCGGGTCTGGGTCTTACAGCCTCGGGTCTGGGTCTTACAGCCTCGGGTCTGGGGTCTTACAGCCTCGGGTCTGGGTCTTACAGCCTCGGGTCTGGGTCTTACAGCCTCGGTCTGGGTCTTACAGCCTCGGGTCTGGGTCTTACCGCCTCGGGTCTGGGTCTTACCGCCTCGGGTCTGGGTCTTACCGCCTCGGGTCTGGGTCTTACCGCCTCGGGTCTGGGTCTTACCGCCTCGGGTCTGGGTCTTACAGCCTCGGGCCTTTGGTCTTACAGCCTCGGGCCTTTGGTCTTACAGCCTCGGGCCTTTGGTCTTACAGCCTCGGGCCTGGGTCTTACAGCCTCGGGCCTGGGTCTTACAGCCTCGGGCCTTTGGTCTTACAGCCTCGGGCCTGGGTCTTACAGCCTCGGGTCTGGGTCTTACAGCCTCGGCCTTTGGTCTTACAGCCTCGGGCCTGGGTCTTACAGCCTCGGGTCTGGGTCTTACAGCCTCGGGCCTTTGGTCTTACAGCCTCGGGCCTGGGTCTTACAGCCTCGGGCCTGGGTCTTACAGCCTCGGGCCTGGGTCTTACAGCCTCGGGTCTGGGTCTTACAGCCTCGGGTCTGGGTCTTACAGCCTCGGGTCTGGGTCTTACAGCCTCGGGTCTGGGTCTTACAGCCTCGGGTCTGGGTCTTACAGCCTCGGGTCTGGGTCTTACAGCCTCGGGTCTGGGTCTTACAGCCTCGGGTCTGGGTCTTACAGCCTCGGGTCTGGGTCTTACAGCCTCGGGTCTGGGTCTTACAGCCTCGGGTCTGGGTCTTACAGCCTCGGTCTGGGTCTTACAGCCTCGGGTCTGGGTCTTACAGCCTCGGGTCTGGGTCTTACAGCCTCGGGTCTGGGTCTTACAGCCTCGGGTCTGGGTCTTACAGCCTCGGGTCTGGGTCTTACAGCCTCGGGTCTGGGTCTTACAGCCTCGGGTCTGGGTCTTACAGCCTCGGGCCTGGGTCTTACAGCCTCGGCCCGGGTCTTACAGCCTCGGGCCCGGGTCTTACAGCCTCGGCCCGGGTCTTACAGCCTCGGGCCTGGGTCTTACAGCCTCGGGCCCGGGTCTTACAGCCTCGGGCCCGGGTCTTACAGCCTCGGGCCCGGGTCTTACAGCCTCGGGCCCGGGTCTTACAGCCTCGGGCCCGGGTCTTACAGCCTCGGGCCCGGGTCTTACAGCCTCGGGCCTGGGTCTTACAGCCTCGGGCCTGGGTCTTACAGCCTCGGGCCTGGGTCTTACAGCCTCGGGCCTGGGTCTTACAGCCTCGGGTCTGGGTCTTACAGCCTCGGGTCTGGGTCTTACAGCCTCGGGTCTGGGTCTTACAGCCTCGGGTCTGGGTCTTACCGCTGCCCCTGCAGGTGTGTGAACATGGACGATACATTTGACATCTGGCCTGGAAGAGTAAATAGCAGAATGGAGAACGAAGCCAGCCTTGTTGACTCCCAGGTTAGTGCTCCCTCGGTCCATGATCTCACCTTGAAAATCTAACTTGACCTGAAGGATACAGGAAAACAATACTGAAGCTACAATTACAAACGCTCACAAATGACAGATAAATACTAAAAACTGATTCATACCAGACTAGAAGCGGTGACTTCGCTGTAGAGAAGTCCAAACGGAACTATTAGGAATCGGTCGTGGTCCGAGTTCAGCCTGACCTGGAGGTAACACAAAGATTACAACGGTTAGGGGAAGATAAACACACGTATATATATCCTAGTGGTGTATTCTTGGGTTTCATATGACGTCAGGGCAGTGGTGCGAATAACAAACATAGGACAGAACGTGACGTATCCTGGCGGTGCAGTCTGCCGGGTTTATACACGGAGATACAGTAGAAGAAGAAGCGCTGTCAAAATACCATCTTTTTGTGCGGTGTACGTTTGTAGCAACCGCACACAGAGAGAAAAAGACAAGAGTTTGTTCATGTTCCAACTGTGGTCTCATATAAAGGAGGACACTTTGGAAAAAATCACTGGAATGAGGCGGGCGAAGTGGATCAAGGCTTTCCCAGATAAGCGCCCCCTGCAGGCCACCCCAATGAAACGCGGCAATTTCTTCTGTTTTTCTTTTCAAAAATGCTCGAAATCAAGACTCTTGTGTGAAATATCTTTTAGTACTCCCTTAGAATTGAGTGTCTTCGATTAAGGCTGTTACAACAACCGTACACCGCACAGGAGTAGAGCCTTTGACTCCAAAACAGACTTTACATGGTTTTCAATGAGAGAAAAACTGAGTTGTCCAACCTGTATGCTTGTGTTAGAACGGTCTTTAATAAGCTCCATATGTCCAGAACACTTGTATTAAACATGAGAAGGTGGGCTGGCAGGTTTGAGCTGGCGTGATTTTTTTTGCATTAAGTCTTCTGACCAAACCAGCCTCAGAGATCAAGAAGACAAACACATACGTCAGATTTGTGCTGCTTCATATCGGTCCTCTACTTTCCTCTACAGTTCTCCATAGACTTTACAGGAGCAGGACCCAGGAGCAGCTCTTTATGCGTGGTGCGAGCCCACTTTTGGTTCCGGTCTCGCTACAGCTACATCTGGAGTGGTGTGGTAGTTGGAACAGTAGGCTAGGTGAAAAATACACACACACACAATAAGTGATTAAAATGTCTTACAGTGAGATGGTTGTAGATGAGCTGGGACCATCCGAAGAGGTCGGTGAGTCGGTAGAAAGCCGCCAACTTGCAGCGCAGCAGCTTCTCCCCTTTGTCGTAGGAGATGGAGTCTGATCCTCGCAGGTCGTTCACAGGAGTCACCATGCCTAAACCTTTTCAGAAACAAAAACAGTCAAAAGATGATTAAAATTGTATTTATTAGTACTAGTATTTGTACTTTTCATACAAGAAATGCACCAAAAAGTGCTTTGTAATTTGGTTAAAAACAATCCCACAATGAGTCCTCAACCAGACCACCCAACAGACCCACCCCAAACCAGATGTATTATTTAGTATACATAGACACACTCTACGCACACACACACACACACTGACACTCAGACGCACACACTGACGCACACACACAGACACTCAGACGCACACACTGACGCACACACACACACTGACACTCAGACGCACACACTGACAGACACTCAGACGCACACACTGAGACTAAAACGCACACAGACGCGCACGCACACACACTCAGACGCACACAGTCAGATTCACACACTGACACTCAGACGCACACAATGACGCGCACGCACACACAGTAAGACGCACACACTGATGCGCACGCACACAGAGACACATGCACACACATCCATATACCCACTCAGATGCGCAACACAGACACACACACTATACAAAATACCTACACACACAGAAAATTATGCCGTTTTCCCACAGTGTCGGTTCAGTTCATTTCGGAACGGTACGGCGCACCTATTTTGCTTTTCCACTAGTGGATGGAATGGGAGATTTGAGTACTTTTCCGTACTGCCTCAGCCGTGGTTCCATCCCCATAGTACCCGTGCCATGACGTCACGTCGGCCCACTGCCTCACACTGATTGGTCAACGAGGAAGTCGTCACTGGAAGCGGCATCTGACCCTTTGGGAAAAACAACTCAACCGCCATCTTTAAAACCGGCTGCTCTGCTCGGCTCTGCTTCGGCTACATTACGTCCTCCTCACTCCAGAGAAATGGAATTGCACAGAAAGCCCCAAAAGTCCTGGTCCTGGTCGGTGGAAGAGGTCCACACGTTCCTCTCTTCAGGCCAAAAGAAAGAATTCAAAGGCAGCTCGAGGCTCAACACAGTTTTCAGGAGATCACCAGCTCTGGATTTGAGACTAGTCTGTGGTAATCCTGAAATAACTGGTTAGCTACGAATCCTGTTAAAGCTCTCACTGAAATGTATTCACTGTGTAAATGTTTGATTGTCTGTTGTACACAGTGAGCTAGCTACATTTAGCTTCATTTAGCTATCGATAGCAGCTAAGCTAACGTCCTCCCTGTGCTACTGTGCTTTATCTCGTATTATCTGCAGTATTCATGTGTTGTCATTCTGTTTTGTGCTTGTATTTAAGTTGTTGTGAGTATATTTGTATGAAAATCTCTTCCCATAAGTGTGGAGATTACCAACGAGTAATGAGTGACCGGAGTATTCTCATCTGGACCTGGTCTGGACTTGGTCTGGACCTGGTCTCTGACATACGTACTTTTGACTTTGTAAACTGTTGGTTCCGGACTAGCCTAGCTTAGCCTAGCTTAGCCGCTAACTCGCTACCCCTATGGCTGCCGCTGTCTCTCCCTCGGTCCTTTACTGCTCGAGTTGCCATATGACGAGTTTAAACCCTGGATCCTCCTCTGAGGGCAGTGATAGATGTGTTAAGTGTAGTATAGTAGTAGCTTTGGAATCCAGGGTTAGTGAGTGAGCAGAGTCTCGAGCTAGCGCTAGCATTAGCTATGGCCTAGCAGTATCCTCGGACATGCAGCCCTCCTCCTCTGCTACACAGGCTGCTGTTGCTACAGGTATGTCCCATTCAGATTGTACAGAGCAGTCAGCACCACTGACTTCAGTGTCTGAGTCATTCTTTTAAGACATAAGCATTTTCAAAAACTACTCGTGCTGTGCTGAGTTTTCTATTAAACACTTGCTCTGGTATTATAATAAATCCATGCACCGCACCAGTACTAGTTACGCGTCACACGTAAATGACGTGGTCTGACAACGCTGAGGACATACTGGGGGTACTAAAAGCACGCGAACTGGGCCATGGCGCGCCGTGTAGAGTCAAAACGTACCGTACTCGGACCGTGGAAAAACGGCATTAGTAAAACAGGTACAACTAAGAAAACAGTTGGAGTAAAATGTGTGGGTCTTTGCAGGTTTACTTACGAAAAAAGATAAAAACCTGCACCGCTAAGTTGCTCCCGAGTGTCTTTTATTTACCGACCACTTTTACTTTTTTCATATTGTTGACTTTTTTGAATCCTGCATCACTAGATCAGACCACTGGGATGTGAACCTGGGGACTTACTCATGTTGAGAGCAGCCATGCCGCCTTGAGGAGCTGCAGGATACATGGAGGGAGCGCTGGTGGACATGAAGTCTGCGATCTGCTGCAGCGCCAACAGGCTTGTCGGATTCTTCCCCTTCTTCAACTGGTCCTGGATCATGGTTTCCAGCTCGTCGCAGAAGGCCTGGAGGGTAAGCATGACAGACTTCAATGAGCGACGTGATACGACTTAGGCCTGGTCACCATAAGTCACTTTAAGTCACTAGTAGTAGTAATTTAGTCATCTTTATTTATATACCGCCTTTTCACTGCAGATCTGAGTCTCAAAGCGGTTTACAATTGTTAATTTTGGGGCATTTGTCTCTCACTCCACACAGAGATGGGAGCGGGGCCAGTACAGGAGGCACATGTCAGAACTATTGGACATATTTTTAGTGGTAGGGGAACCCGGAGTACCCGGAGGAAACCTACGCAGACACGGGGAGAACATGCAAACTACACTCAGAAAGGCCCTGGTCTGCTATTGTCACTCTTTAATTGCCACACCCACATAATCATATCCTGCACAGACTATATTGTATGTATTGTATGTACATTTCTCCAGTGTGAGATCAATAAAGTCTGTCTTATCTTATAACTACTACCATATATCAACCATTTGTTCCATAACTAATGGATAGAACACAGTATACAACATTTTGGGCCTCAATAATCAATCATAATCTTTCTTCATGTACTAGCATTAGTGGCAAGTTTAATTATTATCATTTATCGAAATAGCTTCTGTTTCTAATATATTTATTGGGATGCTCTTTACACACATTATCCATTCTTAAAGAGCGACTAAACACCTGTGCCCAGCCTTACTCCGCCCACATGAAGATTTGAAAATTTTCTCTAAAAAGGGCGTTGCCTGGAGGACCAAGGGGCAAGAAGGGGGGCTTAGAGTTGGGCGTGGTCTGGGCTGTGATTGACAGCTCACTTGTCACACAAAAAAAAAGACAGTTGTCATTGCTGCTTAAAGCAATAGTTTACAGACCAGAAAGTCTCATTCCACCCTTGTTTACACACTAAGATAATTGTAAAGCTACACACCTGAACCTAATCACACTCAATAATCTCAGAATCACTCATGTAATTTAATTTTAATCCACTAGATGGCGCCAGAATACTCCAAACTGAAGCTGGGGCGTGTGTGAGAGTTGGATGGGTTTATATCACTGGCTCTGACAGACTGACGTCACACAAAACAACTGATGTCATAGAGAACTTCAGAGTCAATGGAGAGGCCAGAACCAAATTCAAATGTAGTACCACCAAAAAGGTTGAGAGGGCGCCACACACTGTTTTTTGGCTCAAAAGTGATATTTTATCTAATTTGAACTAAAATGTCAAAAAAATGACCAGGATATGTAGAGAGCACTACAATAAACATATGTATGGAGTTTACGAGTTGAAAAAGTTGATTTGGCGTTTAGTCGCTCTTTAAAGTCATCTCATTTCATGTTTGGTCCTAGATTTTTCTCCCCCCTTTTATTCCCCCAGTGAAAATTAAAGGAACAGAGTAGAAGCAGAAGACAAACAAAAATCTGAATCAATAAGATCTATAGATAGAAAGAGATAGATGAGTTATGACCATAGACTGTAAATACGACGGGCCTAAATGCAGCGTTTGGATCCACAGAGAGTGCGTTCTGACCGGGCTCTGTAGGATCATCGACACCCGCTTCTTCTGCTCCATCATGTTGAAGTCCTGCCGGAGGTCTGGGGCCATGTTCCTCTCCCTCTGGTACTCTGGATTACTCTCATCCACGCGGTCGAAGTAGCGCTCCTTGTGTGGCGCTGTAGTGGGAGGGGGGGCCGTCACCACCCCTGCACCAGACTCTCCGTTCATCCTGTCTGGTCCTCCTGAAGACGCAAAACACAAGAGGAACTGTTAGGGTTCGATAGTAGTGCCACAACTCAATGTTATTGCGATTCATGTCCCTCATATTATTCATAATAAGACTCAACTCAAATGACAAATTTATTATGGTCTCTCTTAGGAGGGTGGAGCAAAAACGTGAAAAACTTGAACTTTCAGGACACGGGACCTCTTTACAAACAAGACATCACTATTCTCTATTAAACGACTCTCCCAGCACTGCACTTACATTATTCAAATACACCAGACTACAGCCAGTAGCTCGCCAACCCTTTACAGGTAGCTCCCCAAAAGGATTTAGGAATTTGACACATGATCCTAAATTATATTTTGAGTCTGTGCATATTATTTTAACTACTAAGCGTTTCATTATGTTCACTAATGAAGGGTTATAGGGTTGGAGACCCCTGGACTAGTCACAAAAAGCAAATCAACATAAGAAAACACAAATGTGAAACTCAGTCTTTAACCAATATTGCAATTAGGGGTGCAACGGTTTGAAAAAATCACGGTTCGGTTCGTGCCTCGGTTCAGAGGCCACGGTTCGGTTCATTTTTCGGTTCATTTTTCTAAAAAAAAGTGTTGTCTTTTTAATAAACACAGCTCATGTGGACTCGGCACCTGCTCTGACTGCCCCCCCCCTGACCTAGAAATGAATTAAGGGGCAGGAAATGGATGGATGGATGGAAGGCATATTCCATCCATCCAATTATGTGTATTTAACATAATTAATGAAAAACAACACAAAGTGCAACATAAGAAGGCACTTTATGAGGATATTTACCCTCATATATTACACCACCTTCCTGATTCTCCCGAGGAGGGGGTCCATTCTGCGCACAACTTTTTTTTTCATAAATCAAACCGCGGATCACGTCTGTACCGAACCGAAGACGTTGAACCGAACGGATCAGTGATGAACCGTTGCACCTCTAATTGCAATACTTTGATCTGCTGTATTGATTTAATTGTGTGCGAAAAATATTGCGATACAGAACAGAATTGTTTTACCCAAACTCTAGTTCAGTCACTGGTGATTTGCCCGAAAGGTTACGCAACAAAGTGAAATGTTGTTTGGGAAAAGCAGTGGTCTGGTGCATCAATACTCAGCCACATCCACCATGACAACCAGCGAGCGAACACAAACCTCTACACGGGACATTCGTTTCAGAGGGAGAGATGTCGAACTCACACTTTTCCAGTTAGAACCACATTAACAACAGCTGTTTAGGACATGTGCGTATTTCTAAACTCTAATTTCTTACACAATGTTCAAATCCAGGTTAAAGCAGTTCAGTTCAGGATTGTATCTTCACTCATTCTAATGTCCTGGTATTATTTATGCCTTGTGTGTTTTTGTTCAGCACTTTGAGTTGCCCTCTGTATGAACCAGTGTGGGCGGGTCCCGGCTCCAAACTGTTCAAGAGCAAGTGCTCTGACATGCTGCAATACAGCTCCTAGCCTGTGGGGGTGTACCCGGAATAAGAATTACTCAATGCTTTTGTATGATATCATTTTTCCTCTCAAAAACCTCTTCACAGGATGGTCCAAAAGTGGCTCTTGGCCCAACACTACGCTCCAGATGCTGTCGATCCTGAGGGGAGTATATTTTTGGACCACTCTAGTTTCGCCGCTGTGGTCTTCAGAAAAAATGCATATGTTTAAAATGTTCTTGCCCAGCGGCCATTTTGAAACTGCCCATAGAAGGCATAAATGATGTCACATTAGTTTGAACGTCGGAGATAGGCGTGACTACGGCCGTAAATATTTACAGTCTATGGTATGAAGGGTGCTATACAAATAAACTTGCCTTGCTGAAATAGCGCTCAAAACAAAAATGGCATTCTTAAGCTTGGTAGAACGCATCAAGTGGCAGCAACAAAGTGCAAATATTTTTCTTCCTCTACTCATACATTTTTTAATATTTGGTTTAGATGGTGCAGATAGAGAAAACAGAAAACCTTATGCATTCATGAAGAGTCAAACCAGTCATTTTGTTTTGTCTTTGTGTAAAGCATTTCAAATCTAAATCAAATAATGGTAAATTACTGTTTGCCACAGGACTAAATTCTGGCACTTAACTCATTGTCCCTGGAGTTCCACTGAATGAATGAATCTAGTCAAAACATCTCAAGAAACATGTGATGCATTTAAACCTCACAGTTGACATTCTGTGGCCTTCCCAGTTCCCACTAAACATGAAACAGAAAAACAAATGGTTCTTGTCCCGACGGTCTGAAGGAAAACACGTCTGAGTCATGTGCAGTGAACGAAGCAGCTCAGCAAAAACACTGTTGGTCTGGAAGCAGAGGCCGTAATGCGTCCTGACAGTGTGGAGCAGACACGTCCTGCTGCTTTCCTTCAACTATCAACCGTTCTACAACACAAACTAACTGCTGCGAAGGCTTTGCTCAGAAATGATGCCAAAGAAAACATGATGTGTGTTTAATCTTGTATTCAGACACAGCACCATTCACAGACCAGAGTCACAATGCGCTTTACAATAATCCTTTTGTGGGCATTTATCTCACTCCACACGACAGGCACATGCCAGCCCTATTGTACATGTTTTTATTGGTAGGGGGGACTCGAATCCAGGACCTTATTGCTGTGAAACTCGTGTGCGCTACTGTGGCTTGCTAAAACAAAGTAGTCTTTTAAAGATCACAAACACAATTCACAGTGTTATCCAGCCAACTTCAGCCTCCTCCTTGTAAACAAAACCTCTGGAATTTAACCGCTCACCTCGATTTGTTTTTGATATTGTCACAACGTTCTCACAATGCAGCTCTGTCATAGCTAACTATTACCGGTTAGATGGGGATGTTGCAGTGGGGAGATTTCCGTGGGTGGGTCTTCCTGCTCGAAGCCTCAAAATCAATAAGAAATATGATCCAATGCACGCGGCCAAGAGCAATGTGAATATAGCGAGAGAGAGAGAGAGAGAGAGAGAGGCCAGAGAGAGAGAGACCAGAGAGAGAGAGACCAGAGAGAGAGAGAGAGGCCAGAGAGAGAGAGAGAGAGGCCAGAGAGAGAGAGAGAGAGAGAGAGAGAGAGAGAGACCAGAGAGAGAGAGAGAGAGACCAGAGAGAGAGAGAGAGGCCAGAGAGAGAGAGAGAGGCCAGAGAGAGAGAGAGGCCAGAGAGAGAGAGAGAGAGAGAGGCCAGAGAGAGAGAGAAAGAGGCCAGCGAGAGAGAGAGACCAGAGAGAGAGAGAGAGAGAGAGGCCAGAGAGAGAGAGAGGAGAGAGAGAGAGAGGCCAGAGAGAGAGAGAGAGGCCAGAGAGAGAGAGAGAGGCCAGAGAGAGAGAGAGAGAGAGACCGAGAGAGAGAGGCCAGAGAGAGAGAGAGAGGCCAGAGAGAGAGAGAGAGGCCAGAGAGAGAGGCCAGAGTGAGAGAGAGACCAAAGAGGAACCAGAGAGAGACCAGAGAGAGATACCAGGTAAAGAAGTAGAAGCTTGTAGACTCCCACCCCATGCTGATAATTTAAATACTTTAATTTATATATTTACCATTGAATAATAATAACTAAGAGAAAAGATACGTTTTGTTTTGTGGGACTTCGCTCGTCGTCTAATTCTAACTGAAAATCTCATCCAGTTTGAACAGGATCCTACAGAAACACAACATCACGATTGTGCAGCTCTTCTGTTAAAACGTTTTTATTTTAACTCGGGAGTGTGGGCGTCTGGGCCGAAACTATGGAGACCAAACATCGCCATGGCAACACAGGGACTGAGATAGAAGTTACGCAACACCAGCTGAAGGCATATTCACACACACTCAGAGGCTACAAAAAAGAATAAGGATAAACGTATAGACCACGTTTACCACACAAACTGAGTAAGAAAGTTATATTTTTTTAAATAGCACATTGCACAGAATACAGATATAGAAGCCTTCACACCGTCACCAAACGCTCACTCACTGAATACATTCTGTACATGTTTAAAGGTCTGTGAAGATTAGTAAAGAAAGATGCTGGTTTAGCATCCAGGATCGGTTTAAAAAACTTGGGAAAAAGTAGCACATTCCGGTACGCATATTGAGTTTTAGAATGAAAATCCATTTCCTAACAAAAACAACTAGTGACATGAAAAACATAGCATGATCCCCTTTGGACAAGACTGCAGCAGAATGCAGTAAGGGCCGAGACAGGGACCAGGGCCAGAGTAGCTGCTGCCGGTCATACCAGTCATATCAAAGTCTAAGGGTGTATTCAGACCTGAAAAGTCCTTTGCTCCGCTTGCTTGATCCGAATCAAAAGCAGACCAAACTTTTTTTCTTTTGCTCCGGTTCGTATTCAGACTGTCCTTTTTGCAAGTGAACTTTTTTATATAAACATATCGACACGTGTGACGATCGGCGCTCCTATTGGACAGAGAGAGCTCACGGAGGATAGACGCGGAACCGGCAGAAAACATTGAGGGCTCGTATGTGCAGCATGTCTGCTCTGCCTAGGTTTGCTCTTTTTAGAGAAAAACCACCTTCAACATCAACAGCAGCAGCTCATATGACACAGGCGAAACACGTTGTTTTAAATATTGGAACAGCGTCGGAGAATGCGTGAGGAGAAAGCCGAAGGAGACTGTCGGTGCGCTTCGTGTCCTGTCCCACACATGGATCTAACGGCCCTGTTCAGCATTGTGGATAAACCATGGATCTATAATAACCACGGGACAAACAGACGCTGAGGATCAGGTAGGAACCAAAGAACACATTTCACTACATGATGCGGGATATTGCTTTTTGAGACGTGAGTCAAACAGTGTCAGGTTTTTTATAATGCAAATGGTTTGAAGATGCTGCATTAACATCACTGTATACTGTGAACAGTTTTAACGCCGTAAGCCTGTTGCACAGCGTCTCCTCACTGCTCCAGGTCTGCACACGGCTCATTGTTGTTGTGTAGCGTTAGCATCATAGTTAGCAGCATAGTTAGCCGCTGCATGGCTAATTCCTCAGTTTCTGTCTGCGGCTTGTTAAGCCCAAAAAATGCGCACGTATCTTGGAGTTGTGTTGGATCGACACCGGATGTATTCAGACCTGATTCGACTTGGACCAGAATTCGTTTGGAAGCGGACCGAGACCACCTAAAAAAGTGGGTCTCGGTTTGGTTCTTTGGTCCGGACCAGGATTCGTTTGTGTGTATTCAGACCTGCATAAAAGGTTCGGATCGGAATTCCAAACGAATCCTGGTCCGTTTAAAGTGGAGCAAATGTGCAGGTCTGAATACACCCTAAAACAAGCAGCTCCCACTCTCTAAACTCTACTGGAATAAATCTTGTATCTAGTGTTTGCTCAGGCGCGATATCAGCTGCACAAAAACAGCCCGACAAATCTACAGCCAGTTCAGGACGTACAGCACTTATGTGGACAGGAAGAATAGCACTGCAGAGGGGCAGAGGGGCACTGGGTGTGGGGCGAGTCCGAGGTAAACACTGAAATACTGGTATAGGTGGAGATGCTGTTATATTTTATGAGATGTTCAGAGAGAGAGACCAGAGAGAATGATCATAGAGAGAGAGAGACCAGAGAGACGCCATAGAGAGACACCAGAGGGAGAAACACCGGAGAGAGAGCAGAGGGAGTCCAGAGAGAGACACCAGAGAGAGACACCAGAGAGAGACACCAGAGAGAGAGACCAGAGAGAGAGACCAGAGGGAGTCCAGAGAGACACCAGAGGGAGTTCAGAGAGAGACATCAGAGAGAGAGACCAGAGGGAGTCCAGAGAGAGAGACCAGAGGGAGTCCAGAGAGAGACACCAGAGGGAGTCCAGAGAGAGACACCAGAGGGAGAGACCAGAGGGAGTTCAGAGAGAGACATCAGAGAGAGAGACCAGAGGGAGTTCAGAGAGAGACATCAGAGAGAGAGACCAGAGGGAGTTTAGAGAGAGACATCAGAGAGAGAGACCAGAGGGAGTCCAGAGAGAGACACCAGAGAGAGAGACCAGAGGGAGTCCAGAGAGAGACACCAGAGGGAGAAACACCGGAGAGAGAGAGCAGAGGGAGTCCAGAGAGAGACACCAGAGAGAGAGACCAGAGGGAGTCCAGAGAGAGACACCAGAGAGACCAGAGGGAGTTCAGAGAGAGACACCAGAGAGAGAGACCAGAGGGAGTCCAGAGAGAGACACCAGAGAGAGAGATCAGAGGGAGTCCAGAGAGAGACACCAGAGGGAGAAACACCGGAGAGAGAGCAGAGGGAGTCCAGAGAGAGACACCAGAGAGAGAGACACCAGAGGGAGTTCAGAGAGAGAGACACCAGAGGGAGAAACACCGGAGAGAGAGCAGAGGGAGTCCAGAGAGAGACACCAGAGAGAGAGACCAGAGGGAGTTCAGAGAGAGACACCAGAGAGAGAGACCAGAGGGAGTCCAGAGAGAGACATCAGAGAGAGAGACCAGAGGGAGTCCAGAGAGAGACACCAGAGGGAGAAACACCGGAGAGAGAGCAGAGGGAGTCCAGAGAGAGACACCAGAGAGAGAGACACCAGAGGGAGTTCAGAGAGAGAGACACCAGAGAGAGAGACCAGAGGGAGTCCAGAGAGAGACACCAGAGGGAGAAACACCGGAGAGAGAGCAGAGGGAGTCCAGAGAGAGACATCAGAGAGAGAGACCAGAGGGAGTCCAGAGAGAGACACCAGAGGGAGAAACACCGGAGAGAGAGCAGAGGGAGTCCAGAGAGAGACACCAGAGGGAGAAACACCGGAGAGAGAGCAGAGGGAGTCCAGAGAGAGACACCAGAGAGAGAGACCAGAGGGAGTCCAGAGGGAGACACCAGAGAGAGAGACCAGAGGGAGTTCAGAGAGAGACACCAGAGAGAGAGACCAGAGGGAGTCCAGAGGGAGACACCAGAGAGAGAGACCAGAGGGAGTCCAGAGGGAGACACCAGAGAGAGACACCGGAGAGAGACACTGAAAAGAGACCAGAGAGAGTCCAGTGGGAGACACCAGAAAGAGAGAGAACAGAGACAGAGAACAGAGAGAGAGAAAGATGGAGTAAAACTAATGTACGTATCAGTGCGGTTGTCCAGTTTAACATTAGAGCAGAGTGATCACATACAGCTGCAGTGAGGGAGGGAGGCACTGGCAGCGTTTTAAGCAATTTCCTGTCCCGTTGTAGCATCATTCTTGCGCTCAGGCTAATGTGATGAGACAGTGAGGAACTATTGTAAACTAGCACTGGCAGAATACCGACACATGTTTATTAAACTATAACAAACAACCGGGAAGATCCAATACTGGGGCTGCACATAAATACAATTGAAGATCATTATTTTTTTAGGTGTGTTTTACGCAGAGAGATTCATGTTATTTGTGTTCAGAAATGCATGGAGTCCATTCTTCCCACACAGGCAAAATCCACATATTATCTAAAACTAAAAGGCAAAAGCATAATAATAACACTGCATACTTGTTTACTTACTGGAGTAGACTCGCACTATATACTGCAATTTACTTTCCACAATCATGTCATAGTGTTATAGCCAATTATAAGATAGCTATACAAGTAATTGGTATGATGCTCTTATATTAATTGGTTATTACTAGTAGCATTTCAGATTTTATGCAGCCAAAATCTTCCCTATAAATGTGAGTCAGGAGTCTACTCTGATGTTCAAATTTAGGTTGAAAACAGTTCAGCTGAAGGATTGTTTTGTCTTTTATTGCATTTATTTATGCTTTGCTTCCATCTTGTTTTGTTAGGCACTTTGAGTTGCCTTGTATATGAACTGTGCTATCAAAAACTTACCTTGCTTGCTCATTCTTTTTTCGAATTGAATATTTTGCAGGAGTGCATGTGCTATCATAGAGACCATATCTCCTAGGCAAGGCAAGTTTATTTGTATATAGCACATACAGATTCAGATTCATTTATTCGCCATTTGCAGTAAGACTACATTGGAATACATTAGTAAAAGTTCACAGTGTGCACAGGACAAGTACAGACATAAAACAACATTAAAAGACAAAAATAAAACAAATTTTAAAAACAGTAAACAAATGTCACTGTGAAGTAGACCAACTAAAACAGATCTATACAAGTGCAAAAACATTAAAGTGCTCTATTCAAACTGTTAACAGCTCGTGGAAAAAAACTATTAGCATAACGAGATGTCCTGCATCTCAGAGAACAGTATCTTCTGCCAGAGGGAAGAAGCTGGAACAAGGCTTTTCCTGGGTGGCCAGAAGAGTCATTGATAATTCTCAGGGTACTGTCAAAAAGTCTGGATTGATAATACAATAATACAAAAAGGCAACTTAAAAGTGCTGAACAAAACAAGAGAGTCACACAAGCCTAATAACTAATAACTAATCACAGTACACGAAAGATAAATATATAAAATCACTCAGTTGAGCTACACAAAACTGTTTTTACCCTACTCATCCATTGCAATACTATCAATCTTGCACGGAGGGGAAACTATGCCGTATTCAGAAATAGCCTACACACCCACTGCGACCCCATGCAGACAAAAACACATAACTACACACATACAGCGGGGGAGAGTTGGTGAGCCAGGTTATGCATACACGCACATGCTCTTAATTTATACTACAAAAATATATATATAGAAACAGAAATTGCATTGAGACTGCAGGCAAAGTAGCATCAAGCTAGCGCCGCTGCTAGCTGCAAGAAAAAGCCATGGATGTATAAACACGCCCGCCATGTTGTGACCAAGCTAACGTGTAGCTAATGCGCATATGTCCAGCATCACTCACCTCAATGTCTGGGAATGAAATGTGAACAGTGCACAGCGGAGAAGTCTCGGATTCCTGGTTATTTTGGTTCCAGCTCGACCCTGGTGCAAACTGTGGGTCTTATCTCAGCAGTTGTCTCCGCTCCTCCGACGGGGTGCGGCGAACCGTAATCCGAGCTCTGCCATTGGCCCAGCGCGATCACGTGGTCACACAGCCCACGGATTTTTTTATTTTTTTATTATTTTTTTTTTTATATATATATATTTTTCAGCTGTGATCATTGTAGCACTCGCGGATAATTCTAAATGTTATTTTGTCTGTATTTTTTTTTTTACTTCATGGGAGATTTGTTGCATTGCGGAGTGGACAGACTGACCACAAGGAGGCGACACATTCAATCTATCAGCAGAGTCGGTGCTTATCCACGTTGGTCGCTAGATGGTACTGCTCCACCTTTGTTGCTATGTATTTACATTTCATTACGTCTTCTTGGCTTTAGCAGTAAGTACTTTTACTTTAGTACTATATTTCAGTAACAGATTCCTTTTTTAAGTTAGTCAATAGTGTAGCTCATTAGGGAAGTGAAAAACTGCACATTTACTTAGAGGTAACAAAATGTATTTCTTGAAATAAAACTTGGACCAACGTCATTCAAACAGAATCAGTGTGATTTGTGTTTTAGACCAAAACTAACTCAAGTAGTGTAACATTTTCAAAACCGTTTATTCGATTAGGGACTGTACACATGAATCAACATTACTGTATACAGTATGTGTCAGTATTAGCTATACTGCTAGGTTCCAATTGTAGTCCCTAAAGGACTACAGTCCAGCTAAATTTACAGATTCATTGTTATGGATTTTCATCTTACCAACTGGTGATATAAATATTTTACACACTGGTGGATTTTGGTGTGATTACAGTTGGATGGATGTTTCATGTAACATCTCTAACCGATAACTCAGTGTGGAAGAGTCCTATATGATACACATTATGCACCTCATGTATCACTCCAGGGAGGTTCTTTGAGGAAATGAGGCCCTACATACATACGTACAGATACAGCAAACGGAAAGGTATCACATCAAATATATGTGTGTTACATTGTGATGTGATACACAATGTAATACATTGGACTGTTTTAGAATTCATACAATTCTAATACAGTCCAAAGTCTCTATTTTTTGTTTATATCACTGTAGCATTGTGCCACAATGTCCCCATGAATGCTCAACAACAACAACTGTTTTAAAGTACAGACACCTGGAACTTGTACTTGACATTTGAGGATCCACAGAAAGAACATTCTTTCTCTCTGTTCTGTGGGAGGCTTCTCTCTGCATGTTGATACAGAGAACATAAACTTTGCTCGACAAATTGTTATGGACTTTAGTAAACTAAGCTAAGTGGCTTCACACAAGTTTTGTCAGATAGTATGCAGCCGGAGACATCGAAAAGCCGATTTCTAAATGTGAAGAAGAGTATTTCTCATATTTCTCAGGTGTTAATCCTGCTCCTTAAAAACAGGCACACAGACTCCTCTGCAGGGCTGCTGGGAATAACTGAGGTCGGCTCTGGGATATCATTGTTTGTCACTCTATATATATGCACGGTGAGTTAGAAAAAAGGAATTTACTTGATTGAAAAGGGGGACGTGACCAGACTAACCTGTTTCTCTTAAGTAATCACCGCACAGAGGGAAGACACACTCAGCTGTTTTTAGTATTCCAAGCACTTACCCTCCTCTTTATAGACTGGCCAGACGGGGAGCGGGGCCAAGCTCTCAAATGACCGGGATACTGCACTTGTCACGATAAGAGAATGAGCAACTATTCAATTACGTTTATTTGTGTGTGGCTCTAAATCACAACAGCAGTGGTCTCGGAGGACTTTAGAATCCAACAGTTAGAACACAGGAAATGTAAAATAACAAACACACAGGAGCCGTTGGTCCATATGGGGCGGGATGACCAGTGTCCATAAATGTTAGTACATGTCCTGGATCATTACTGTTCTCAGACCCTCCTGCACATCATCAATTAAGATTTAGTAAACAAACATTTTAAAATTTCATATTCAAGGTGGTCAGTCAGTTCACCAACGATAATGGATCTTTTTTGATCCTTTTGACTATTATCCTGGCGGCACGGTGGCTGAGTGGATAGCACGCTCGCCTCTCGGCAAAGGGGTCCTGGGTTTGAATCCCGGTCGGACCAGGGCCTTTCTGAGTGGAGTTTGCATGCTCTCCCCGTGTCTGCGTAGGTTTCCTCCGGGTACTCCGGTTTCCCCTACCACTAAAAATATGTACAATAGGCCTGGCAACCCTGCTCCTATCTCTGTGTGGAGTGAGACGATAAATGCCCAAAAAACAATTGTACACCACTTTGTGACTCTGGTCTGTGAAAGGTGGTATATAAATAAAGATTACTTACTATCCTGGATAATAAATAAAGATTACTTACTATCCTGGATAATAAATAAAGATTACTTACTATCCTGGATAATAAATAAAGATTACTTACTATCCTGGATAATAAATAAAGATTACTTACTATCCTCCAGCTCTACTCTACTCTTCTCTCATCTACTCTACTCTACTCTACCTGTTTGTGTTTACATTACACTTTAGTTTCTGGTATCCTGACCAAGCTGCCCGCAACAAACAGATATCCATAGAAATTCCTTGATAACCGTGGCTTCCAGCAGCACTATGGCCAATCACAGTCAGTTGGAACACTTTAGTATCTGTAACATATGGTACCATGTAGAGATGAGGATGGTTAAAGATGAATCACGAGGGACGCATGGTGTGGTAGCAGGCAGCTTGTATACTTAGCATCTAGCTTAACACACATAACACACAACATATATGTAGAGTGCTATAGCTGACCATATAACTGCACTTAACATTACAGTATCAGCTTGGCCTGGATAGAACCAGGGCCAGGGGGGACTAAAAAAGTACCTGGTTCGGGTTAAACAGGCCCAATGGAAACGCTCCCAATTGGAGTAGAGTGGACTTGGGGAAAGTAGGGCTGGTGGAAACAGGGCTTTTACGAAAAACAACTACACTTCATTTGGCCTGCTTTTCACTCAATATTGTATTACTTTATATCTGTCATAATAATCTCCCTGATCCCCATGCGGCAACGGTCCGGTACCACTGCTTTAGGTCCAGTGCTGGTCCCATACAATTGGGGACAGAGGCTTGAAGTATAGATTACAGAAGTGTGTCCTCTGTTGCGGTGTCATGGTGTGTGTGTGTGTGCGTGTGCGTCACTACTCTTACTTCTGTTGTCGTATCACACTTCTTGACCTGTAGTGGCCTCGGTGACCACCAGGAGAGGGTCAACCTATAATACATCCATGGGGTCAAAAGGGACAACCAAGTCACATTGTCCCACCTATACCACAACTGTAAAGATAAATAACAGTATGCATGTTTAAATATACTTAAATAATCTCTTACATGCTCATTGGCAAACAAAACATGAAACATTTACAGCCTAATAATGTCTTATAATAATTAACACCAGATTCCCAGAGCAGTCAATTTGACGGCTTTTAGTTTTGGAACGGCAATTACTCAGCTCATGTAAATTTGTATTCTTCAAAACATTGTGACTTTTTCTATTTGCAGTTTAGTTTAGTTCTACCTTTAACTGCGTTCAATTCAATCTTAAAATTCATTACATTTTCCCCAAGGTCGGAGCTGTTTTTGGACAGGTCCTGGACTGATCCTGGACTGGAACTGGACTGATTCCGGACTGGTCATGGTTCGAGATCTGGACTGGAGCTGGGCTGGTTCTGGACTGGATCTGTACTGGTCCTGGGTTGGTTCTAAGCTTGAGCCAGAACCAGGCTTTCCACCAGAAAAGCAGGTGATAGTAACCATAGCAACACACCTTGTCAGTAGTTAGTATTTGGTAGCTCTTCATCAAACTGTTTTGACTCTATTTCAAGTTATATTATTACAAAAGGGAGTAAGAAAACAACAAAAGAACCTTATAAATGACTTATTTTTAATGAAACTGTTAGAAAACTAATTAACTTTTTGCGGAAATTTTCAGAAACGTTCCTTTTATTTGAACGGACAGTTTTAGCACCAGTTACCATAGCAACACACCGGCGGCTCATCGAGGCTACCAAATGCTATCTGCTTTGATAGTACTAAACAGGGGTTTTTTGTTTTCTTATTTTTTGCAGTATTTTAAGTTATATGCACTGATAATAAGTGAGAAAAGGAAATAAATAAAATAAAATAAATAAATAATAATAATGATAATAATAATAATAAATAAAAAAATAATAACAATAAAAAAATAATAATAATACATAAATAGATAAATAAATAACCTTATAAATGAAATATATTTACTAAAACTGGGGGAAGACGAATACACTTTTTTTTGGGAACATTTTCAAAAATTGTCTAGATGTATTTGAATGAAGAGTTTTAGCATTAGTAGTTTCTGAATGTTGTGAGTCCTCACACATGAAAATAGTCCCACGGGCACCAGAGCACCAGAGCACCCTCCCCCTCCCGCGGCTACAGGCTCCTCTCGGGCTCCTCTGGCCACAGCCGCCATGCTGCATGGAGCGGGCAAACAGCACACTCACTCCTCACGCTCCTTCCGCTCCAACCTCACGTCCACACATTACGCTGCTCTGCCCGACCAGGAAAGCCCGTCTTCGGTGAGTAAATACTCAATTATCCCGAGTATAGGACATCATTTGAACCTTTTTGAGTGTTTTTGCCGCTGAGTTCCGCCTGCACACACACACCCACACACACACGCACGTACACACACACACACACACACACACACACACACACACACACACACACACACACACACACACACACACACACACACACACACACACACACACACACACACACACACACACACACACACACACACACACACACACACACACACACACACACACACACACACACACACACACACACACACACACACACACACACACACACACACACACACACACACACACACACACACACACACACACACACACACACACACACACACACACACACACACACACACACACACACACACACACACACACACACACACACACACACACACACACACACACACACACACACACACACACACACACACACACACACACACACGGGTCTGGCTTCTCTGCACTTGTTGCACTGGGAAGTTTCGCTAAAGCTGATGGAAAACATTAAGAACGTGCCTCTTTGTGCATTACTTTCACATAATTCTTGCAATCTATTCATCAAAATACGTTGTGCAGAAAGTTTTATGTATGTTTTATATGTTTTAAACTCTTACAAAAGTTAGATAATGTGAAAAACTCAAATTTCCATGTCTTAGCTCATCATATTCCCTCGTTAACTCTTATTTCTCTTAATGAAATGCCTGTAATAGCCTAAAACTGTGGTGTTTTTTCAGGGGTCATTGGGAGGTTTAGCCCGTGTGCATTAATCAAGTGGTTTAAATCTAACTCGGGACAACACAAAGCTTCTCATACATTGACCACATAGGGCCCCTGTGTTGATGGTGTCACATCAGGGTCAATCTTTGTGTTTGTCTTTCATGCAACTTTGCAGACTGGCTGAGAACGGTCAAATTTGAGTCACAACAAGGTTATAGGTAGAGAAAGAGACTGTTGACAGAGGCCACTTGTGTGCCTACAATACACAATTTCCCCGGGAGAATTTTCCAACATTTTCTCTGGTCTTGTCTTTCTGGTCTCTCTCCCTGGTCTCTCTCTGGACTCCTTCTGATCTATCTCTTCCTGGTCTCTCGCTCCTTGGTCTCTCTGATCTTTCTCTCTGGACTCCTTCTGGTCTCTCTTGCTTGCCTTGTTCTCTGCCTGTCTCTCTCTCTGGTCTCTCTCTGGTCTCTCTCTGGTCTCTCTCTGGTCTCTCTCTCTCCACTTTTAGAACAAAACTCTGGTCTTATTTGACGAGCACCAAAACAATTCCCAATTTTGAGGACCAATACTTTTGATGATCCACTCAGAAGTCAAAAATCCCTCCTACATGCCTTTTTAATTTCATATCCATTTCAGATTTGTATTTATCCATGTCTTCTTGTTTTTATTCTGATTTAACTTGTTTGCACCGAGAGCCAAAGTAATCTCCTAGTTTGTGACTTCCTGTTACTCGCGTGGCAATGAAAAGGATTCTTATTTTACACACAACTTCTTAAAACAGCTGCCATTTCTGTTTGCGATGCAGGTGCAGCTGTTTTTCCCTTTTTTTTTCCTTTACAACCAATGAACTCAAATGTCCCTGGTGTGGACTGTGGCCCCGCATTGATTCTTGTGATCCTCAAATTAACCCGTGTAGGTCATATTGGCTCAGATCAACATAATTGGGCGGTGTGTTGGTGGAGGCCCAGTCCAGTCCAAACCGTGTCAGCAGCAGCAGCCGGAGGGAGGTCGGGAACTGGCTGCAGCAGGATATTGCTGTAGGATCATTCACCAGCTGCAGACAAATCATTAAACCACTGGCTGTGTGCCACTTCAAAAGTTTCGAACGGTTTGAGGCTCAAACTTTGCTTAAGGCTACGTGAGGATGACATGTTTTGTGATTGAAGAGTTGGAATGAAGTGTAGTGCAAAGATAAAGGCAAGTCTGTGCGAAGATGTTTGCTCCGGTTCTACTCTGGTCGAAACGCTCATAACATATGCATCATTTATATTATACTGATCTCTACATGTTTGTGGTTCTCTTTCCTTTTGGCCTCTCTCTCTGGTCTCTGTCTCTGGCCTTGCTCTTCAGTCTCTCTCTGATCTCTCTCTCTCTGGCCTCTCTCTCTCTCTCTCTCTCTCTCTGGACTCTCTCTCTCTGGCCTCTCTCTCTGGCCTCTCTCTCTCTCTCTCTCTCTCTCTCTGGACTCTCTCTCTCTCTCTCTCTCTCTGGTCTCTCTCTCTCTCTCTCTAGTCTCTCTCTCTCTCTGGCCTCTCTCTCTCTCTCTGATCTCTCTCTCTCTGGCCTCTCACTCTCTGGTCTCTCTCTCTCTGGTCTCTCTCTCTCTGGCCTCTCACTCTCTGGTCTCTCTCTCTCTAGTCTCTCTCTCTCTCTGGCCTCTCTCTCTCTCTCTCTCTGGTCTCTATGGTCTCTATGGTCTCTCACTCTCTGGTCTCTCACTCTCTGGTCTCTATGGTCTCTATGGTCTCTCACTCTCTGGTCTCTCTCTCTCTAGTCTCTATCTCTGGTCTCTCTCTCTCTGGTCTCTCTCTCTCTGGCCTCTCTCTCTCTGGTCTCTCTCTCTCTGGCCTCTCTCTCTCTGGTTTCTCTCTCTGGTCTCTCTCTCTCTCTCTGGTCTCTCTCTCTGGCCTCTCTCTCTCTGGTCTCTCTGGTCTCTCTGGTCTCTCTCTCTCTGGCCTCTCTCTCTCTGGCCTCTCTCTCTCTGGCCTCTCTCTCTCTGGTCTCTCTCTCTCTGGTCTCTCTGGCCTCTCTATCTCTGGCCTCTCTCTCTCTCTCTGGTCTCTATGGTCTCTCTGGTCTCTCACTCTCTGGTCTCTCACTCTCTGGTCTCTATGGTCTCTATGGTCTCTCACTCTCTGGTCTCTCTCTCTCTGGTCTCTCTCTCTCTAGTCTCTATCTCTGGCCTCTCTCTCTCTCTGGTCTCTCTCTCTCTGGCCTCTCTCTCTCTGGTCTCTCTCTCTCTGGTCTCTCTGGCCTCTCTCTCTCTGGTCTCTCTGGTCTCTATGGTCTCTCTCTCTCTGGCCTCTCTCTCTCTGGCCTCTCTCTCTCTGGTCTCTCTCTCTCTGGTCTCTCTCTCTCTGGTCTCTCTGGCTCTATGGTCTCTCTCTCTCTGGCCTCTCTCTCTCTGGCCTCTCTCTCTCTGGCCTCTCTCTCTCTCTGGTCTCTCTCTCTCTGGTCTCTCTGGTCTCTCTGGCCTCTCTATCTCTGGCCTCTCTCTCTCTCTCTGGTCTCTCTGGTCTCTCTCTCTCTGGTCTCTCTGGTCTCTATGGTCTCTCTCTCTCTGGTCTCTCTCTCTGGCCTCTCTCTCTCTGGTCTCTATGGTCTCTCTCTCTGGTCTCTCTCTCTGGCCTCTCTCTCTCTGGTCTCTATGGTCTCTCTCTCTGGTCTCTCTCTCTGGCCTCTCTCATGGTCTCTCTCTCTCTGGTCTCTCTGAATATTTTTCACACCACTCCTTTGCTACTGTTGACCAAAATTAAGAAACTCAGAGATGGAAAACTGTAAAACTTTTCAAACTGAAAGAACAGTGGTGATGATCCGGGACACGCCACATTCAACAACATCTGGACATTTATCAACATTAATGAACATTTATCAACATTTATGAACCAATGGCTCTGTGTTTTTTATCATTGCTTTGTTTTTGAACTGTTTGATTCTCTGATCTGTGTTGGTGAACTTTAAAGTCCTCTGAGATAACTACTGTTGTGATTTAGGGCAATAGAAGAATGAATTGAATTGAAAACATTTTCTCACATTTAACTCATGAATTTAACTCTTTCTTTTTACTGTACTGTGATTATGATTTCTGTGATCGTTTCTATCTTGTTTTGTTCAGCACCCTGAGTTGCCTTGTGTATGAACTGTGCCATACAAATGAACTTGCCTTGCCTAAGACAGTAACTAAAAGTAACCTAATCCAAACTGTAATTTAACCGACTGCAGCTGTAAAGTGCAAAAACTGTCGTTGTGTCCTTAGGCAAGACACTTCACCCACGTTGTCTAGAATGAGTCTGGTTTGTGAACGAAGGTGGTGTGAGGGGCCGATGGCACAGACTGCTCCAGTAGAAGTTCATCACCACTGAGTGAATGTGATGTGTCTTTGGCCCTGTTTATACTGAGACGCTGCGCAGACGTTTCCAGGCTATTAACAGAAACGACCTGGCTCCTAATGCAAATTTCTCAGCGTTCACATGAGGTTGAAAAACAATGTAGTTCTAGCGCCCGGCCAGTAGTGGGCAGAGAAACTTTACAACACTCACACGACCCCCAGCCCCGTGCCCAGCCCCCCTCTCTGCAGTGTACTCACTTCCTGTGCCAGACCCTCAGAAAGTACCAACATCATTCTGCATTTTAACAGCAGCTGTGACAATGGGAACTGAACCTAGAGCTTCGCGTGGTCTCGTTTGGAAGAACGAAGGAGTAGAATTATCCTCTGTGCTGTGCTCGAAGCCCACGAAGCTAGTTAGTGTGCGCGGCGCCATCTTTGTTGATGTTTGTTCTCCGCTACTGCGCATGTCCAAATTTACGTGCTGGAGCAGTGCGGAGGCGGGGGTCAGAGCAGAGGGGGATTTCACACCTTTTCCCCTCTCGCGTGTGTGAAAGAGCCCCCGCTGTGCAGCGTTTCTGAGTTGTCCCACTCTGCAGGCTGGATCTGAACACTTACGTTTTCACCCCCCTGGAACACAGTCTTCGTATGAACGGTTGGTAGCAACCGACATCCAACTATACCGTTTTACTGCCACATTGTCTCCGTGTAAACTCAGCCTTTGATTGTTGTAGCCGCATTAAAGGAGCCCTCTGCTGATTGTAGTAGCCACAGTTACTCCTGCTTCATTATCCACATGTAGTGAGGTCAGAGGTGGAAATGGGAATTCTGTCTGAAGTATTTATTTAACTTGGATATTCAGATTTCAGTATCATTCTTCAGGGAGTCCTGAAAACCTTGATTTTTGTTCCATAAAGGCATCTTTCTA